ACCCTTGCCCCTTTGCGGTATCGGTGGACTTGTAGTCCTTTTGAGGTTTTCCAACAGCAGAGTGCTAGTGTGCGTGCGCTTGTCCCACGAATATGGACCCAGAAAAAACGGAGACGGCGATTTTCGCGCATCCTCAACCATGTTCTGCCGGAATACCGCCACACCAGGTGACACCCGCTGTACCGTTTCAGGTACGGGCGGTTTTTCCGGTCAAAACGTACCGCCGGAGGAGGGGTTCTACCGCTTCGCTTTCACGAAGCATAGACCATGGTGGAAGACCAGCGAAAACAACCGAATATTGAAATGAACTAAATGATAACTGTTTCAGCCAATGGCGCTGGGATAAAAATGAACACCTCCAACAATAAAATCTTTCGCCGTTTGCAAGCACCGGTGATTTGCTATTCCGGCCGTTCCATGCGCAAAAGTCAAGAAATGCCGGCGTATCAAGTTCCAAGCGATTTTGGACTCCTGCAAAAGATTGTCCCCACCGTCTGCCCCCCCACTGTTGCGATTAACGTCGATAGCAAAACGTCCACGTTCGAATCGAGTCCCGCCCACCGGAAGAACATGTGGAAATGAAATTTAATTATACACAACAATCGCAACAAATCCTCTCACCTGTCTAGCGTGAGAAGAGGACTGCGCTTGCTGGTCTCTCCCCCCCTTGCCCTGCTGCTGACCCCTCCCCCCGCCGCCCTTGCGCCGGCCGCCCTCCTCCACTTGCTGCAGGGACGTGAGTAAATTTCTGAGAACCTTCTTCTCGGGATGGTCGGCCAGAAACTCCTGCAGCGATTTGCTTTCCGCGCCGTACAACATGTAGCACTGCTCCGAAAAGGCGCAGCCAGCAGAACGGAGGGCATGAGGGGGAAAACATCAAGTTAAGCGGCGAAAAAAGCTCAAAGTGCGGGTAGTTTGGGGACTGATACATGATTGTGGTGTTTCAGGCAGTGGTACCTTTCAGAATCAAGAACTCACGCAGCAGGAGGGGGGGGCAGGACAGGTTGGGGGTAGATAATGCTCGGAAAATACAGCCACGTGGCAAGGGTGAAAGAGGACGTTCAAAACCACGCTCAGGCGGTACGGGGAGAGAGGTAGGGTAGGGAAAACGACGAAAATCAGGAGGAAAACAGGTGAAGGAAGGAATGGATATTGACGTTAGGGCCGAGCTAGACAACATGCATTTTGGCTACGTTTGCCCTATATGGAATGCGAATGGCAGCGTTGCTCTGCTCACCAGTCACCAAACAGTGCACAGCACGTCCCATTGGCATTCTCACCATATCATAATATCATACGGAGACCAGATATTGTAGAAGAGGCGTGTGGGGGCACGGGGGGCCACAACGGCCGCGCTGTTTTGGAACTTCTCTGGTGCTTCTGCGGCTGTCGACCATGGACATCAGCTGGAAAAAAACACCGCAACGACACGGTTCACCATCTTGCTATATGTTCCTCGCTATTTCGGTGGTTAGAATCACGAGGACAAAAACAGAGAAAAAACTAAAAAAGTTCTTGACAAGACTCGAACAACTGCGAGACACGTGGTGTGTATAATTTAGCTCGAACGATAGATCATTGTCTCCCTCCACGAACCGTCCTGTCCCGGACACAGAACGTGGCATCACTAGAACCTTGCATTTCGTTTGTTCCCCAAGGTTTGATTCTTTTTTCCTCTCTGGGGGAACCCAACCAAAAGACTGGTATATAGGTTATCGCGTGAATCGTAACTCTCAGCACCTGTTCTTACGGCCCGGTTCTTGGAATTCATCGTTTTTGAGCCTCAAGTTCAGGTTCAAGCGTAAGAGTCGTAACTCTCAGCACCTGTTCTTTTGCTCAAGTTCTTGGAATTCATCGTTTTTGAGCCTCAAGTTCAGGTTCAAGCGTAAGAGTCGTAACTCTCAGCACCTGTTCTTTTGCTCAAGTTCTTGGAACTCATCGTTTTCGAGCCTCAAGTTCTGAACTCCCAGGTTCTTCAGGTGGGTATCTAACGCGCTCTCAATACGCGAGAGCAACGGACTGCTTACGCAACGAAAGAAAGCTTATAAAGAAAAAAGACCAGGCAGGGGGCACGCAGACCAAAACCCTAACACCAACCCCAACTTAGCCGATTCTACACTTTATCGACCATCTTCTTTTTTTTTTCATTGGGAGCAACCGACCGGGGGAGGCACCCTTTCCTCGTGGCACGGATGGGAAGGTGGCATGGGATCCTGCGCAGACAACTTACCGTGGTCAGCCCTCGGACTGCTGCAAAGGAAGCCTCCGTCGCCAGTACGAGCGGACCGTTTCCCTCCCGTTTCCCCTCGATCGGTCCTGCCAACAAAAAAAAAAAAGATTGGGCAATCATCATCATACCAAGCGTGGGTAGGTAGGTACCCCCACACCCCTGGGCTCTCCGATCGATTGTCGCCTCGAGGACAAAATTGCAGCTGATCCCTCACCTGCGATAGCCGCGTCGAGGAGACTAGCGGCTTTCCGCTCGAGGGTGGAGTAGTTCTTGTACTCTTGACGAGTCATCTAACGAAGAAAACAGGAACAAATACATCGTCGGCACAAGAGACGCGAGGCAAATCACGTAAAGTTGCAGGGAATGAAAGACTACGCCCAATCTGCTACATAAAAGAACAGGAAAATATGAAAATATCTTCGTCGAGTAGGTATAATGAAGTGGGATTTTATTGGTGTAAGGGTCGAGTTGTAACCTCATCACCTGTCGGAAACCTGGCGTCATACGCGGGAGAATCATTGCCCTCTTTGTCTACACCCGCTAGAGGTTGGTGAACGAACAGGCGGGGCAGAAAAAATGTCCACCATTTCAAGTGCCAAAGAGTTTGTCAGAGGTCTTGATTTCCCGCGAAGCTCGAAAAGGTTCAGCGAGTCAGCGTTGTTGGGCAACGTCGCCGCAGGCAGGGAATTGCATCGATTTCCTGCGTCAGCCACCGGTATTTAGGCCAAAGATATGTAACCGTCTTGTCTATGTTGCGGTACGAATACGTGGAAGGAGGCGAATGCGGCACGGAGATACTACGTAAAACCTACAGTCACGCTGTCTCGCCTTTTCGCGATCTAGTAGCGGCCCCGAAAAATGCTGCCCGCGGTCAACAAGCGCCAACCGAACCGTCACTCCGCCTCCGCTAGAACCAGACGAAACCGCCGCCGCGCTGCTGCCACTGTTGGCAGACCAAGTAGGGTGGTGGTATTGGTGTCCGCCCGGTCCACCCGATATTGCTCCCTGTGTTGAGGTCGGGTCTGCTAGCGCCGCTAGCCCGTCGGCCTGTTTGGGGGGGGGGGGGAGCAGCATCCTCCGTTCAGGTTGCTTTTGGGGGGGGATAATTTATCGCTTTTTACTGTTGCGGAGATGACGTTATTGAAGGGTCACACCTCCTCGAAGCGTGGCTGTCGAGGCGTGGTTAATTTTTTTTTGTCATGACGAGGGAAAAAAATACAAACAATAACAGTAGCCCGACCTTCCTCCTGTGGGACCCCGGCTGACTGATAGGTCAAACAAGTACACCGAAGATGTGTAGACTGCTGCCTGAAGCGCTGGGACGAACCCACGTACAACACACACACTGGAACGGCCACATTTTCTTAGCTCTTACCACATGCTGCGCCAGGTGGTCGAGAGGAACCTCCAGTTGGCCGCCACCTTTCTCCATCACCGACATCACCTGGAAGCACAGATTCAATATCAGACGCACGGGAGTTGGGTGCCGTGCAAAATGCTGTCGCCTTCGCCCTTGATGCTGTCGCTTGTGGTTGCTGTCTTGGCATTATCATCCGCATATGCAGATTCAGAAAGGTGCCATACCCAACGAAATACATACAGCAACAAAAAGGTGGCCATGACTGCCGTTGTGGAGAGGAGAATGGTGATCAAATTTGCGATCAACAAGTTGCGGAGGGGTTGGGGTATAGTCTATAGCCTACGGTAATTGGTGACCAACAACAAAGCGCGTTTTTTCCTTCCAAAACACACTGGGAAATATTGATTACGCATGCATGTATGCCTACGCGCACACACCCACCTTGACCGCCTTCTTCGCAACCAGGGTGTGCGGACGTACGACCACAACGAACGGAATCCCCAGGCTCAGGCAAGCTTCGGCGGCTCCCTCCAATCCCCCTCCCTTCCCCGCCCCAGCCCTAATAGGAAGGGGAAGGCAGGGTGTGTGCGGATATCACCGGGGTCCAAACCAATTCGCCACTCATGATAAATTGTGGGAAACCTAGGGCCGAAGAAGGAAACATGCCGCCCCATCGCCCACCCTCATACAAGAAGCGTCAAGGCTTGACGCGAGGCTCAGGACGGGTGAACCTTTTCACAAACAATCGCCTCCTTACATCATTGAAAAGAGACTAAAGTATTAACTTCTCCTGGCCCGCCGTCCCACCAACCCCCCCCGTTCCGGCTGGAACCATTTGGAAAGCCTTTTTCCTTTCGATTTTTCCGGAGGTGGGGGAGGGGGGAGGGCTTGACGGAAGGGAAAGGCTCGACACAAATTAGCGGTGGACCCAAGCTTCAAAGGAAGCACCTGGCGGTGGGGGAATGAGCCGGAGATCGGATCTGAAACACGGAACTACCATTGCCGTGGCCCGAAGGGTTCAGGGCAAAACTGGGTGTGCGCGGGTTCTTTGGTACACAAGTTTTTCTTTTTCGGATGAAAGTGTTGACGGCCGCGCGTGGCCCCTCTGGCAGTTGTATTAGGGATCCCTTCCGAACCTGGCATGGAGCGAGAGCACTACTAAACACACAGTCTAGTCTATGTATACAAACACCGAAAGGAACCGGACCAAAGCAAGCTAGCGACGACAGTAAATCGTTGATGGGCTGTGATGTGTGCGTTTCGTTTTTTCGGTATTTCTGTAATCTTCAGTTTTCCGGGGACGCAATGTGGAGGCCTCGGTTACCCGTGCTACGCACGCACCTGACGAGCGCATCGGTTGCGAGGTACTCCGCACGGATGCCGCCGGCCCAAAGTCGGGCCGCCACCAGAACCCGCTCCTGCTTCGCCGTAAAATGTTTTTGGGAAAGCTCACGTGTCGCTGCGACAGTCTGGGTAGCTCTGTGCATGCCCCCAAGATGCCATGCAAACAACAAGGTGCCTCATCAACTTTCTAACCATTTTTTAAAGACACTTTCGTCGACGGTCGCATCATGACTCAACGGTCAGCGGTCACATCATCGTCCAGCGGTCGTATCATGCCTCAAACGGTCGTATGTTGTCCTGCAGTCACATATCATCACGCCACCACGGTTGAATGATGGCCCAGAAGGGTATATGCCCACACAATTGTAGAAGAAGCCTGTCCCTACCGCCGAATCTTGCCGCAATCGTCGTGTGGGGGCTCAACGGTCACTTCAGCCCCAATGGTTGTGCCATGCCCGCAAGGCCACATTATTCCCCAGCGGTCACACTCATGTGAACACGATACATGAACATATCAACCCCGTGAGGAGTACGGCGTGACTGTATCCCACGTAGAGGAGGCCAATACGCGCTGAGGGAATGCGGGGGGGGGAGGTATCTCGCCTGCAACCCTTGCGACTCGAAGCCCCCACCGGCGCACACGATGGCATCCACAGGCCGCCGTGAAATCTGGGGTTGGTTCTTGAGCCTGTTTCGAGAAGACGAGCAACAACACACGAAGCAAGACTCGGGGGGATCACGCAATTGTACCTTAATTTTCCTGTGACCGGGTGAATCGGCTTGTCCAGGTGTTATGTTGGTTGATGTGGAGGTGCCACGTAGAGGCCAGAACGATCATTTTTATGACCATAACCTCAACGAGAGCAGCGATAACAACAACAGCAACAACAACCGCAGCAGCAGCAGCAGCAGCAGCAGTCAATCCACGAGCTCGCTCACCCCGGGAGGGATTCGTTCCTAGGGGTGACGAGCATCGAGGCCAGCTTTTCCACCGCGAAGCGAACGCCCACAGCACACAAGGCCGAGGACCCGGACACCTTGCTCGTGGCACGCAGGTGGTACCGGTGCCTACCGCGCGACAAATAGAGTTACAGGCACACACAGAGTGGTCACGTAGTCCAGCCGGATAAAGAAAGGTTGCACTACGTACGGGGAGAGGGCGACGCCGCTATTGTAGTGATAACGTCGCCTTTGAACGATACGAAGAGGCACAATGTACCGGCGAATACATGCCAAGTACGCACGACATAAAAAAAAACAAAACCACGGAGTACCAGCGCCCGTACTTGTCGTGTGCAGTGTTTCTCGTTGTCGTGCGGTAGGAAGGTTTGGTTTCAATAAGGCTTTGACCAACGAGCTCTGAACGAACGCGCCCGAAGGCACAGCAACCGTTTGCTAGAACCTCAAGAGCACTCTCTCTCTTATACAAATGTTTTTCGGCTGCACGTAATGTGCCATGCGACACAACAAGGTCGGGGGGCATCGCAATGAACAAGGCTCCACCATGCATACCCTAGGAGGACCAATATGTTCAATTTTGGGGAAAAACAGCCCGACCGTCGTACCATCGTTGTCATTTGACGATAAAAAAGGTATGACTTGAAAAAGAACAACGGCAAAGCGTCAAGCACAAAATCGGAAATCAAACTTACGGAGTAATGTAATAAACTACCGTATACTAGTACTCACTTGGCGACCAAGTCATCATAACGCCCGCCTTCGGCCACCGTCAAAGAAGTGCGGTACCCCTCGTCTCCTCTGCCAGAGAGGGACGCCTTTGGAGACGGACAGACAGAGAGGGAGAGAGAGAGGGGGGCAAAGAGAGAGAGAGAGAGAGAGAGAGAGAGAGAGAGAGAGAGAGAGACGAAGACACACAGAGAGACAGAAACAGACAGGCAGGCAGGCAGACATACAGACAGGCAGAGAGGGGGAGAGAGACAGGCGGGCAGACCGAGAGAGACAAGGAGAACAGAGTGTGTAAGCGATAAGTCGAGAGGAGCACCACCCACCACTACAATTCCACGTCGAGAGGATCGTTACAGACCAGTATCACAAGCACCGCATTCTGAGCGAAAACCCAAACCAAGGCACCACCAATACAGCGAGAGTGACCCGACCATGAGAACTACAACCCCGATACAAATATAACCGCAGCCCCCGTCGCCACCACCGGCACCACTCACTCCGTTCACAAGCGCCGCCTGGAACACCGTGCCGGACGCGTAGCTCCCCTGCCGCTGCGTCAGCCCAAGGTCAAGCATCACGAAGGAGGGCATCACGACGACCCCACCCTTCCAACACTCCCCGTCCAACTCGCCCCCCGTTCGAACAGCGCCTCCAAGGCCGAAGCCGGCTGCGGTCGAAGAATCGCCGCCGCCACCGCGCCTGCGACTTCGCCGGCCGATAGAGCCGCCCCTCGGATCCCCGTCACTGCGGTCACCTCCAGCACGAGAGTCTGCAGAATCGGTGCGGTTTCTGTCTCGGCTAGCGGCGTGTTCGCTAGCGGTTCGGGGCAATACCGGGAGGGACCGGGGGTGGGTGGGTGTAACAAGGTGTTAGTTGTCTGTCAGAAAGGATAGGGGTGTCAGCGGGAGCGCAAACGTGTTCCCAATAGTATTCTTTGGATTTCACGTGTCATGGTTTCGAACGAATATGGCTGTGGCTGTTTCTGTCCCTCTGTTTTTTTCATGGCATCAGCATGGATGGGTGATGACTTAGGCGCAACTATCCTCGCACTTCACAATTGTTCGCTAGAGACGAGAAAGCCGGATGAAAAAAAAACATGAAGATAAATTCTTCCATACAAGCATCCTTGACAGCGTCGGGCAGGGTCGGAGCGAAACAAATAGTCACTGTTTCCTTTTTCACCACGTGAGTTTCGACGAAAAAGTTGAGTGTGTTTTCCGACGCGAATGCGAAAACAAGGCATTTGCGTGGAGAATTCTACTTCCCTAGTTGGTCGTCGTTCCATATGCAATCAAGACACAAGGCACGAGTGCTTCTTCTTGCTAAATACACAATACATAAAGGCCTGAGAACTGCTGCGAAACACACAGCAGCAGTCCTACATCTTGTGAAGAGAGGCCAAGACACCACTAGCTACCTCTGGTAACCGCGAACAAAACCAATGCGGTCAGATTACTGCTCTTGTGGCTGCTACTGATGATAATGATGAGATTATTACTGCTGCTGCTGCCGCTGCCGCTGCTGCTGCTACTGCTGCTGCTGCTGCTGCTGCTGCTGGTGCTACCGCTGCTACCGCTGCTGCTGCTGCTACCGCTGCTGTTTCGTTTACCCGCGTGCTTGCTGCTGCCTCCGTCTTCCCGATCGCTTGCCACCCCCGGACCGCACCGACGACACTTGAGAACCGCCGCCGCCGCCGCCACTCTTACCGCCCTTGTCGACAGCATCGTCCTCCTTATCCCACGAAAAAGGAAGCGAGATGATTCCCAGACGAGCCAGGCCGGTGACGAGGGCGGAGAGCCCCTCCCTCGCTTCTCGAAACACACGGAGGGACCGCTTCATCCGCACGGCCTCCTTTCGAGTCAACTCCCTGGAGGGAGGAATAACGGTCCTTCGGTGTCTAGAGAACGGGTGGAAGACGTGTGCGTGCTGATGTGGCGAGGAGCTTGAAGCATCAGTTTGTGATTCGTAGACGTAATGACTTTGCAACATGAAAAGTCGCGGGCTCGCAGGAGAGTTCGGGCCTCCATTATAGCGCTATGGCCGATAACGCAATCACCATCAAGCAATAGCAGCAGCAACAGCAGCGGCAACAACAACAACAACAACAACAACAATAATAACAAACACCTCCGCCTGCCCGGTAGCTCCATGACGCTCTTCACAGCCGGGATGCGCTGCACCAGCACCTCGAGACGCGACAAGGCCTCGAAGGGCTCCTTGCCCATGTGGTGCAGGAAAGGGCGAACGTTCAACAGCGTTTCCTCGGATAGGCCCTTGGACCCCACTTCGGAAAACGCCTGCAGATGGCAGGAGGAACACCCGGACGTCATCTTTCGTAGCGCGTGTGTACCAGTATATGGTTTCTCCGCGAGGACGAAGAGGATACACATGCATAACATGGAATGATGCGTGTTCAAAGATCTCTCGACGATATGGCCCCAACGCCGCCGTTTCTTCTTCATTCGTGTGGTTGTTTGTTCGAAACGGCGCTTTCATGTGAAAACACTATTTATTTTGGTTGCCTTTTCGACCAGAAAATGGCGTTTTGTTGTTTCTTCGAAGAGCAGGTAAACGGTGCCGCTGGGCAGCGGTTGGAAGGGGTCACAACAACAATCAACGCAAAAATGTTAAATAGTATGGATGTGCCCGATGACATGCCTTCTCCTGAGCCAACAAAAAAAATGCAAGTAAAATTCAAGCGTTTTTTCGAGATGATGGACTGCTTATGATTGGTTCAGTGATGAAATTGATTCTACCTCAGCGATGGAAACAGAAGTAGCAAACGACTATTTGGCGAACCGCTTGGACTGTGCTCGTTTCTCCACTGATGCGGTATGCGTGTAAGGACAACTTTTCTAAACCGCGGGCGTGTGGGTGTGAGACCATACAGAGAGAGCGGAGGCCAAAAAAAACACTCGAGAATGGAAATACTAACCCTAACCCCACGAAGCAACAACACAAACCGTACGAATGGACACACGAGAATATGAAAATAAAGACGACAGAAAAAGAAAAAAAAAAACACCAAGGGGGCATCCAGACGAGACGGACTCTCGTCCCACATACCTTTGCCGGGGTGATGGAGCCCCTGGCTAGCTTGCCAAGCAGGCCGGTCACCTATGTAGCAAAAGTACAGCACAGCGAAGCAGAGCAGAGCAGAGCACAGCATGGCATGGCATGTCCCGCACAGCAGCCGGTGAACGACCAACGCTCAACAAGTCGATTATATGTCCTCCGGTTAAAGAGCACGACTAACTTCAATCACACCAGAGGTTCTGCACGCAAATCATGATGTTAGGCACAGGGTCCACTCGGCACATGATAAGCTCTCCGGTACTTCTGTGGTGCTTTCTTTGCCCATATTATTAATCTAAGTGTTGCTGTTTAATGTCAGCCATACTGCTGTCATGCTCGACATGTTGTCTGTTCATGCTTCGGCGACTCACAATAGGCCTGACGTCTTGAGGCACCCCGCATAGCTCCAAGATGGCCTGGGACATCTTCACGTGGCCGAGGCGGAGGAACCACGGCCCGAGAAACCCTTCGAAAGTGCCCATCACCTGAAGAACACAAAAAAAACGACGTTGTTGTTGTTGTTGTTGTTGTTGAGGACGACGATGGTATGATAGGTCATTTTTATCGCTGCTGCTATCGTTGCTGCTAGCGGCTACTGTGGCTGCTTCTGCTGCTGTTATTGTTGCTGTCTTGTTTGATTTTTTCCCTCTGGTCTGCCTCCATATTCCTTGTCGACCCACATCAGCCAGAAACGACACCCGATGCTAGCGAACTACCTCTTGCCTCCATACGTTCAAGAGCGATATCTGTCTCTGTGGCACCAAGGCAAAAGACGCACTATGCTTTGATTCACGTTGGCGCCGTGCCGAATCATTGGTCAACTACAGGCAAGATTGAAGGAGGCAACGAAGAACGGGCGGGACTATCACAGACCGGAGGAAGAGGCGCCATTCGGTTCAACATTTGCATTAAGTGATCCTCGGTATGGACAACGACAGTCGACAGTCAAAAACCGCCATGTCACATACAAAAAAACAGAAACACAAAAGACACAGCGTCCTTATCAGAGGTATAGTCGTCAAAATTCCTACGAAACGACAAACCACAACAATGGCGTCACAGGACGCACAAACCGTAAATACTCCCACCGTACTGGAGAAACGTCACCAACACTATGCTCCGAAGACCTAGCCACAGCAATAGATACATCAAACTTGACACGGCACTTTAGCATGGAAAATGACCAACACGGCTTCCTCCCCTCTACAAAAAATGGCCGAAGTTCTTAATCCCCTCCTTAACCGAATATTCACGTATGTATCAAGGCAAAAACAGGTTCAACTGCGCACCTGGGATATGACTAGCACAGCTTCCGCCTCGGCCACCTCGAACCGACCCTCTCCGGAATCATGATGCCCTAGCGCTGCACGAACACCTCTCCCATCACCGCCCAAACTTGTCGGAAGCCTCGCAGTGATGCCACTGTTGCCGTCGACGCCGCGGCCAGCCCCCCCATATGAAGCAGCAGCGGCAGAGGAGGAGTGGCCCGAGGATATGATGTCGAAGTCCGCCTCCCACGCCTCCACGCAGGAACGGTCCGAGGAAGGGTCGTCCGATTCGCCGGCGCCCCCCGCGAGGAAGATGCGGTCAATCTGGTACCGCTTCAGGCGGGTCACGCCGCTCCTTGCGACGAACCGCGCGAACGGCACGGTCAGGTTCCCGGGCAGGGTCACCACCGCCCCCTTACGGTCAACTAGACGCACCAGGCCCCTGGAGGCCAACGCGGGAGGCGCTAGAGATGGGGGGGGCTTGGGTCGAATAGTCGGTGGTGCCACCGGTGTGGCACCGTGGGTCTCGAAGACTCGCCGCAATCCGTCGCAGACCAAGGCCACCGCCGGTGCCTCTGTGAGAGCGTGTGTTTGGGTGGGGGGCCGCGAGGGGGAACACGCGGTCGGGTCATTGTTCGTTTGCAACGTTTGGTGCTGTTGTGGACGCTGTTGCGGGTGAAATATAGTTAGTGGGGAGGGGCGAGTGGAAGAGCAGTGTTTGGCGTGGACAACTGGTTGTGTTCATTGATCGCTGCCATTGGTGCTTGAGGTCTGAACGATTGCTACAGCGGTCAGTGCTATCCCTACTGAGCAGTAGAATTACAGCAACAGCAACAGCAACAGCAACAGCAACAGCAACAGCAACAGCAACAGCGACAACAGCAACGACGACGGCGACGACTACAGCAACGACACAGAGCCGTGAACCCTCCTCACCTATCGGTATTCGAGCCGACACGGTCTTGAGAGGCTCGTGGTCGTACCAGTGCTCCACATGTTCCGCCGTTTCTTGGTCCAAGAGCGCCTTGACGATCACCTGAAACGTATCGCTCTCGGGGTTTCCCATCACCCGTAACGCCTCCCTGAAAACCAAAGAAACACGTGTCATTTGTTGCGAACATGTTGCGGACAGTTTTCTACATCAACGGTGGGAATCACCTCACGGAAGGCGCCCCCACAATTCTGTCCGCTCTTTTTCAAACGAAAAGACATCGATAACCAAAGAGGCTTTCCGGGCACCAGGGACGCAGTGCTAAGCGTGCCTGCTGTCGTTTCTCTTGATCGTTTAGTTTACCTCAGGAAGGAAGCCTCCACCTCCAACTTGGGTGGCAAGAGTGCGCTTGACAAGAGCTCTGCTGCCGTAGGCCTCGCGTCCGCGTCCGTCATCAGTAGCCACCTGATCACCTGCAAGGTTGAGATCATGAATAAACTGTTACAAAGTCATTATTCGTGTCATCGTTGTCGTTGCCGTGGTTGCCGAGATGGCGGTCGGATAGCCGAAAGGAGCTGGAAACCCAAACACAATGCGATCGCAGGACATGATCTATCACCAGCAAGCCTATCCATCTCAAATGGCTCGAAACCAGAGCATCCGTGTGGCTACGGCGTAGCAGTAGCGGGCAGTATCGAGCATCATCGCCCACTAAGTCGTGGAAACAGGAGCAGCAGCAACCACCCCAGAGCAAGCTGAGCAGCAGCAGCAGCAGCACCAGCGGCGGCGCAGGATGGAGGGAGATACAACAGCGCAACACGCTACAGCCACTACACGCCCACCACAAAGCCAGCGGTCTTTGACCTCTTCGGCACCCACTTGTTTAGCGTTGTCGGGCACTCTTTCTTCAAATGCTGGTGGAAACTCTACCCCCCCCGGGCTCCTGAGGGCCGTCATCACCCCGGCTCTTTCCATCAGAGTGCTGAACCTGCACAGGGATTTTAAAATTAACGAACACGAGATAATATGAAACCGGTTGGGATCATTTTCAAGTTTTAAGACGTACCCGAAATCACCCAAAAAGACTATTTAGCTAGGGCGGTGACATGTTCCATGATGTAGGTGCGGGACTAAGCATGTGCCCATTTGGTGGCGTGTACGTAAAAGTATCCGTCTTGCGAGAATACCAAGAAACAAATCTCGCTCGAGCAGTACCGTCGACCAATCCTCGCTTTCCTCGTCCAGAACAACATGCTCACTGTCGGGTTCTTGGTTGTACAACGTACAAAATGCAGTCATGCACCACAACACCGCCTCAAGGCGTGCCTGTGTGTTACACCAGAACTTTAGGCACTTTGCGTGCCACAAGACTTCGGACGGAAATGCTGTGACCATGGGGGTCCGTAGGTACCGGCAGTGTGCCGCTAACCGGTATTGTGCAGGTAACATGGCGTGCACTGTTGATAATGTTTCATGCTCTGGATAGTGCCGGGTGCCCGGTATTGTGCCGGTGAATCTGGCAGGCATATGCCTGCACCATATAGGGACTCCCACTGCTAATCAACGCAATCACAACGCTCAGGATTCGTGCGAGCACCATCTGTTCAGACGCTGGCAACAACGGACGTCCCATCTCCCCCCCCCCCTCCCCGGTGTGTGCCATCGGGGTTGGCTTTTCGTCGCTCAGCAACGCCGTTGTAAAACAAGCCGATCGCTTCGTGAGCTCGACAACCAGGTTACTGTTATTTTTTGCCTTTGGTTTTTTGCGATAACAATAATGGTGGTCGAGTAGATCATGTTGTGCGGGGTCGAGAAACCTCACTCCGTGAAAGGGGGATGATCGCACCACGTTGTGTCAATGGGTCAAGCACCCTCGAGGCAGTCACACCGTGCCAATAGCTGTCTCTGGAAGTAAAAGAACCAGAATATAAATTAAGTCTTTCGCAGCTGTCCTCCGTATGCAAGGAAGTAAGCACAAGATGCCCAACACCCTTAGCAGGAAGCACCTCACCCTCCGTGCGACTCGCCGAATACCTGACGGCGCTTTGCGCTTGGTGATGTGAGAGCCTGGTCCGGTGAGAACTCGGCGTGCTCCGTCTTGGCTTTGTAGGGGTGGGAGGTCCAACGACTACGGCATGCAAGACCCCTTCCATTCCCCGTCCGATCAACGAAAACAATTCCCCCTCCGATCAACGGACGGAAGTGAACACTTCCTCCATTCTTCGTTCTGTCAACCATGTCTAGAGTACGCACACACACCTCGGAGCCAGCATCTCGAAGAGGATGACACCCAAGCTCCACATGTCCGCTTTGTGGTTGTACTGCCCGAACCTCGCACCCTGCTCCGGCGCGATGTACGGGCCTGCGGTACACCGTCGCAAACGCGGATTCATTAACTACCCCATATGCTACCGTCGTTCACAGTCTGCAGTCCCCCTTTCCCGCAACAAGAATCTGTCTTCTGAAACGACAGTCTCCCCTTCGGTCTTACAGGCCGACCCCTCGACATCAAACTACGTGCCCTGTCTCATGGAGTGATGCATATCATTTTGTACGGACCTGTCCCTACTCCGTCGGTGAGCTGGCTCGTGTCGCTGAGAGGAAGCTCTAACTCCCCGAACACCGAAGGAAACGCGGAGCTCATCGACCCCCCCCCGTCGTAGTTGCCGTTGCTTGTCGTCAATCCTCCGTCGGCGTTGGTGCTGTCGTCGTCATCGTCGTCGTAGGGGGCTCCGCGATCCTGGGGCGTTTCGAGGGGGGGGAGGGGGGGGGGGGCTTTGAGCTAATCACTGTAATCCGAATCTTCAGGCAACTGACCAGCGACCGGGCAGGTCAGCGGAAACGGAGCACAGGTCCTATTCTTTAGATGGCCACCTAAAAATGAGGTCACTTTTTTTTCGGCGAAGCGACTTCTACAAACCTGAGAACTTCTGGTGCTCTTTGCGCTTGGCTCAGAGCAATTGTCGGAGGTACAAACAAAAACGGTACAGGGCACAGATGTAGAGCGCAATCGACCTTCGTTCAGTCCAACACCCGACTTGACGATCGGATGAAACCCTACTTTTCGCAATGCTGAGTCTGTTTCGAAAGAGAATGTTCTTCCTGACGGACGCCCGTTCAGCCGGTAAACCAGGAACGCAAGAATAAAAACCTGCCGCATGCCAATCAAGACACGCACGACTCGAACACCCGCTGCACGAACACCGAATTCACAGCGGTACTATTAAAAAAAAATCCCGCTCCAGAATCGAAAAAAATACTCTGCGCAAGCACCGAATTAGGCCCGAACCACACACCAACTTGTTGACTCCACCACCCTTGGTACGAGGCTTTTTCGACGTGGCGAGGCCGAAGTCTCCAAGCTTGACGTTCTCTTCTCCATCTAGGAACACATTCGGCGGCGTCAGATCCCTGCCGTTCCACGACACAAAAGCAACGGTGTTAGGTGACACGCCACGCAATAATTCGTGTGAGGTAATGCATAACTTTTGTTGATTCGGTGGAGCGCTGTAGATAATGGCACGCCGGCTGACAGGACACACACGCGTTTTCGGCCACCTATTTCCAAAGCTGCCAATTAAAGCTTATTACTTGTCTCTTAGTGCATGATACATGTCGATCGGGGCTTGCCTGCCACATGGCGACTGGGGCTTGATTCGCGTCGATTGGTGCTTCGTATGCTTGTGCGCATTGGATACCAACTGTTTCGCCTGAACGCGCGATCCCGGCCCCCAAGCACACACCAACCAGCGCGATGCTTTCGGAATGCCTACGCTGGCATCGAAGGGTTGGCTTCAGGTAGGAGGGATTGTTGTACGTGCAATCAGCTACCATACTACCTCCCCTACCTATGTATGATGCCCTTGGAATGGATGAAGTCCACGCCCTCTAACATCTGCCGGAAGAGTCTCCAGCACCGCTGCTCTTCTCGCCAAAGCTCACCGTGGTCGATTAGGTGCCGCAGGGTGTTCTCGCAGTACTCCATCTGGCAAGGGCATCGTCATAACGCGTACACTTGTTTTTGCGTATCTCGTTCTCCATACCTCGCGGTGTTCCAGCCTCGCACGGGGGTCAACATTGAATAAAATTCATCATATGTTTTTTGTCCGAATGTTTACAATCCCCCAAGTCTCGCGGTACTCCAATCCGCAAGGGTATCCCAACTAATGGTGTTTTAACGTCTCCATCCCGAAATCTCGCAGTATCCTACAACGCGAGCGTATTCTGGGTGCGAATTATCTTTCCCCCCATTGTCCATCCATACTCATGAAAACAAAAAAATGCATCAGGTCACGCCACCGAAGACCACTACACCACCATCGACAAGGACAGTTAAAAACCCCGCTCCAAAACAACAACAAAAAAAACAAAGCGCACCTGGATATACAGAAACTGCCGTTCACCGCCCCTCGTCACGGGCGGAGGCGGGGCAATCAGGGAGTCCAACCCCCCCGTCCCCCCAGGTCTCGGGCTCCCTGGCAGCGACGACGGCAGCGATCTGTTGGGCGTTTTCGCCGACGACGAAGCGGCGGAGGCCGCCGATGGTTTGTTTCCCCGGTCCCTATTCCGCCGCGTTTCTTCGTAGAGCTGCATCAGGGCGTCTTCCGAGGACCACGAAGCGGGCACCGGCGGCGCCCCTGCGTCGCTCACCTGCCTGCTCGTTTTCGTGGTTGTGAGGGGGGAATGGAGAGGGGAAATTGCGGGCCACGAAAGCATGTATTGGGGGGGGGGGGGGGGTAGGCGCTCGTCTCTGGTGCTTCGGTCGCCTGCGCTTTGTCGTCGTTGTGCGGGGAAATATGTACGGGTAAATGCGGACCACGAGAGCATGTATGTCGTGGGGAGGGGGGTGTGTGAAGGCACTCGTCTCGGATGTTGCTTGGTCGTCGTGACGTTTCGCTCGCCCGCGTGTCTAAAACTGGCAAGAACGTGTATGTGCTGGAGGAATTGGGTGCAGGCACTTCGTTGACTGTGAAGTCGTTGTTCATGTTGTTGATGTTGTTGCTGCGGGCAGGCAAGGATGGAGTTGCGGCATCTTTCACTTCGTGATTTCCCGTTTCGATTCTTGGGGGGGGGGGCGGTTCGCCTCTTTGATAGGGGACTGGGAACTTGGCCTTGCTCGTCACGCAGCGCCTGCAGTGAGACGAGCGGCTATTCTTCCTTGCTCTTTCTCTCTGGATTGGACAAGAAAGTACTTGATAAACTGACAAAAAATTCACAACCAAACAAGCATGGAAAGGCCCGTAACACGATGTAAACCATTCACAAAATATTCTTTCTCCACCACCGCGTCCCTGCTCTATGTACTCTCTCGCTTGTCCTGAGCGGCAAACAAATCCTCTCGGACTTTCTCACTCACCTCGCTCTTTCCGGCGAGCCGAAGTACTGAAAAAACTCAGCGTCAGACACAAGCTTCCCTTGGCCGTGAGAGCGGTAGTCGCCTCCCCCGGAGCCCCACGATCCCTCCTCGCTTCCGGTGTTCCCCTGGTCATTGCTTCCTTCTTGGTCTGACCAATCATCGTCGTCGTCGTCGTCGTCATCGTCATCGTCGGAAGTGCGAACGGTTTTGCGTCCATCGGCGGCGGCTTCGTTATCGGTATCGACGGTTTCGCTGTCGCCGGAAGACGAGGACGAAGACGCCATCGAACCGAAACTTCCCAGGTGGTTAGTTCCGCCGCATTTTTGGGTCCACGGGGCCTCTGCCGTGGCTGGCGCTGTCGGTGGCGCCAATACCGCTTGCGTTGGTTCTTCTGTTGGCCCCGTGCGGACGTTCAGACAAAAACAATTATTGAGAAGTTATCATTCGAAAAAATAACGAAAACAAATATTTAGCCCAAACAGATGCATGCCTGGAACATCACAGTGCAGAATGCACGGAGGGGCTCGTTGTGGCCAGCGTAATTGTTGTTTTGCTCGTGGGAATAAATACCACACCGCGATTTCAGAAACGGTAATCTCCTGTACGGTAACATCAGCTTGACCCTGCGAAAGAGTTACCTTCATTGCGGATCTAGCACTTGGTTTCAATTCTGCGTCTATTCCAGGAGTACCTTACATTCTACTGTACAACGACTTTGCTAGGGCTGCCACGGCGACCCCTGTGCCGGCCTCTTCCTGCCTGTAGCGCCGCCATAACATGGCTTTCCGTCCCATCCCGTCCCTCCCCTGCATTGAACACACTAAGGACCATACCTCTCTTCGTAGCAACAGCAGTAGCAGCAGCAGCAGCAGCAGCAGCAGCAGCAGCAGCAGCACGCTTTCGACGCCCGCGCGGTATCCGGAGGGGCTCAGATTCCCCCTTGCCAGTCGTCCCCTCCCAGCCTTTGCCAGCAACCCCGGCATCACCACTACCAACAGCGGCCGCCGTTGCCGCTGCGACGACTAGCAAGCGCTTCTTCTTCCTGGCCTGCTTCCTCAGCAGCCGCTTGGCCTTTTTGCCCAGCACGGCCGTTGTCCCCGGGGCGGCACTGCTGTCTTCCCCTCCCACGGCAACGGTGCTGCCAGCATCGCCTTCCCCGAGCTGCATGCTGTGCCTTGCCCGGCAACCGCGGCCGCCAACGCCATCGTCGAAGTGGACATGGCTACCGTCAGCCTCGTTGTCCTCCAAACCCGTAGACATGGTCCCGGTATCCCTCGGGAGGTGCTCCGATTCGGCGGCGCAAGCGGTCGGTTTTGGTTCCGAGTTTCGGTTTTTCTTGGCCCTCGATGACGACTTCGTGGTGCGGAAGAACCCCAGCCCAGCCTCGATTTCGGACTGGTCCTCTTCTGATTGGCCAATATCGGTCGCTCCCGGGACGTCGTGGCCGGTTGCTGCTGCTGCTGCTGCTGCTGCTGCCGCTGTGGTTTCGCCCTTGGTAGCAACAGCAGCAGCAGCGGTTTTCGCGAGCGCGGGTGCTCCTTCAGCCCTTGTTGCGTCGTCTTCGTCGTCGTCGTCGTCATCTTCGTCGCCGCTGTGCTCTTCTTCGACGGCCGCCGGGAATGCTCCCCCGCCCCCTTCGAGCCACGCCTGGTAGTACCTGCGCGGACAAAAAAAAAAAACATCCGAAGCCAGGCGCTACTGAACCACGTCGGGGGTTTACCGTCAGGCGCGCCTACAGCTGTCTTGCAAATTTGTGTACCGTCGTCATTGTTGTCTATCACGTTAACATCGCTACGACCTACGCTCTTTAGCACCATTTACAACCGATACTGGTCAAGCTGAGGAGGACTCCTTCAGTGGCCACAGGCTAACTACCCCCCAAGGGGTACACCACAAAAAAAAAAAACAGAGGGTAAAACAAAAATAACCCCGAACGCAAGCATACGTGGACACGGAATTGTTACAATTGACAGCAAAAACAAACCTCTGCAGAGAAGATCACACCCGTGAAACCAACACCGTCGTTTCTTGTGTCCCCGTCTCCCTCAACACACATGCGACGCCGAGAGCAACTTCAACCGGCCCGACAAACAGCAGTGACGTCGACGAGTTCGTTTTGGTTCAAGACCAGAAAACGTTCGCCAAATCAGCGGAGACCGTAGTGTCTGGATCGAAGAAATGCGCGCGTACACGATTCTCACGCGAGACTCGAGAGATCACTTACCGGCTATCAACGAAACTACCGGAGACTATCCTCAAATCATAATATAGGTTCGGCAAGAACGAAGACACCGGGGACAATACATACCGGACGATGTTCTTGTGGATGAGGGTAGAGATGGTGGTGACCTCCCTCCTAATCTTCCGGTTGGTCTCCTTGTCGAAGGGGTCTAGACCCACTTTTTTCACGGCGTAAAGACGACGATCCACTCGGTTGCGGACCTGCGTTGTGCGAGTGTAGAACGTTTGTGATTTCGCTATTTTGCTGCTGCTGCTGCTGCTGCTGCTGCTGCTGCTGCCGTTATTGTTGTCTTCAATTCGTTAATGCACAAGTAGCGGTCGTATCATCGACGCACCGCTTGAAACACTTCACGCGCGCCAATACAAGCTCACGGGCACATAAAACATAAGAATACCTGCCACCGCGCGGAGAGTTGCACACACCCATATGGACAAGGAAAATGACAATCGTATGGTATGGGGGACTTGCTCTGCCAATGTCCGCATCTTGCTGCTGATTTCCAGCCCAAGACTCCAAAGCCATTTTTCACTGTTGGGGTCATCACCAAGCCGGCCGTGCTCGCGGACGAACACGAACACTCCTTCGTACAAATATCCAAAACCTACTTTCACGACCGTCCCGAAGCCCCCCTTCCCCAGATTCTCCAGCTCCTTGAACTGCGAGCGGTACCAGCTACTCCGTTCCTTGACGGCCCCACTCCCCCCTTCTCCGCCGCCTCCGCCGGCGGGAAACCTCCTGTCTGCGCCGTTGTGGTTGTCCTGGGGATGGTTCATCCAGCTATCGTCGGAGGCATTCGAGTCTTCGTCGTCTTCTTCGCGGCCTAGACCTCAAATGCATTAGCAACGAGGGAGAACGAGAGAGAGAGAGAGCAGAGACACACAGATATATATATATAGAGAGAGAGAGAGACAGAGACAAGAGACAGAGAGAGACACACACCCCAAGAGAATGAGAGGAAGACAGAGGCAGAGAGGGGCAGACAGAGCGATAGCCAGGCCCGGTCAGCGGGGATGGAAGATGCCTGTGAGATAAAAAAAGCCAATGGATTAAGCTCGTGCCTGAATACGAAAATACTGCAGAATGAATAGAAATCCTCCACCCACGGGTTACAGATGGCTATGAGATGAAGGTCATCTTCATGAGTCTTACATCTCGGGGAAGACTCCAGCAGAGGCGCCCGACTGGTGCAAAGAACCGCGACGAAGTGATCCATGTTCGCGCTGACTGTGTAGTTCTAATAGATTAGTGTTTCACTGACAACATATGTAAACACGGGTTCGATTCCCAACCACCAAACTATGAGGCACTGTTAAGACTATTCCAGCAGCGCATGGCCAGGGGTCCGCACCGGATATCACTGCTATCTTAGCTGGGAGGCCAAGAGCCCTAGCAAGAGCATATACGTTGTAAGATGAAGGACAAATAATGGGTTCGTTAGCCTATTTACCCACCCTTGCAGTGGCCGGGTCAACCGTACTCCCCCCCCCCCCCCCCCCGACAGTCGAAATGTAGTGCGCACACCAAACCAGCAGCCCTATGCACACAATCGTACATCACGCTGGTGCACAGCAGTGTGGTTTTGGTTGTTGACATAAACATAACAGTGTTTTCGCGACGTCAGAGCTCTATTTTCCTTTACCCTACAAGTTATGGTCTTCGTTTACTCGGGCGAGAAGCCGCAGTCGATATCGTCACCTTAAAATATTCGCTATAAGTGGGAATTGGTCGGGCTCTGTTGCGTGATGCTCTGTCATGCAGTCTTGCCCTCTAGTTCCTGCCGCAGTTTTTCAGTCTAGCGGCCGCCGTGTTGGACTTTCATCCTCCGCACGTTGGATTGCAAAACGCAGGCTGCTGCTGCTGCTGCTCATGCTTACTCTCCCTTGAGACTTCCATCATTCGTCATATCTCCACTTTCATTTAGAACCCTCGGATCTCAGGCTGCTGCTGCTGCTGCTGCTGCTGCTGCTGCTGCTGCTGCTGCTCGTGCTTACTCTCGTGCATTGAGACTTCCCTCATTCGCCATATGTCCACTTTCAGTTAGAACCCTCGAATCTGTCTTTTTTCGTGCCTTCCTGGCACGTGCAAAACCGCCAAGACGGTTCGACAAACCCCGAAAATGAAAACTACAAAATTACATTACACGTATCCAATTTGTCCCCAACGCAATTTTTTTTTCACATTCAAGCTATGTGCAGGCAGTTCAAAGTAATTTCGGGCCACACTCCATTCGACGATAACGTTTCACACCTGTTTAAAAGAGTTTGAACGCACCCAGGGCTCATTTGTTCGTATAGACTAGAGCGTTTCAAGACACAAGTAGCGTTCTCATGTACTCTGCCACGGTGCTCCGTAGGCCCCTTCGGCCTGTGCGTCAACCACGCCCCCTTCCACGCCCAAAAACGAGTTGCAAAACCCTCTTATTTTCGTTTTCCTTTACTTTCGTGGTACATTGAAAACCCAGCACTGGCCGCTACGCGCGCTGACGAAACCTACGTCTCATCAACCCAAGCACAAGATAAACAAGAAAAAAGAGGAAAATGGCAACAGGCCCGATGTGTGCGCACCTCCTCGTTCTCCGGCTGCCCCAGCCTCTTGGTCTTGTGCCCCCTCCCCCCCGGTGTCGTGTTCATGCTCGCCGCCGGCAGACACCTCGGGGATGACGCCTTCCATCGCCCCTAGAAACCCCGCGCTGGCGGCTCTCTGAAAACGTGGAAGTACGTGCGGGCGGGCGCGTGAACGTTTCCCGAAGGAACACCATGGCAAAGTTAGAGAGGGTCGGGCGTCTGTGACATGGCGGCGCGATGCCGAAGAACTCAACAATAAGGGCTCGAATGGCTGCTTCGAAATCCATGCTGGCATCGATACTCCTTTCGGGCGGGTGGGGGAGTATCGGGGCGTGTGTGTGCGCGCGCTTAGATATCGCTCACGAAAAGTCTGAAAGCTGCTCCACGTCAAGCACAATGGAGATCTATGTTGAATCGACCCCCAAGGAAACAAAAAGTCTCAACAGCTAGCAGTCGCTGCAAGAACTCAGACACCGCAAGCGCGAAATTCTTGGCGCAGGCAGCACCAACAACAAAATGAACCGAGTAGCCCGCCACGCCCATATCTACGACTGGTACACAATACACTAAGATCAGGATCAACAAGGCGCACACGCACCTCCCTTTCCTGCTCCAGTTTTTCCCGGACCACCGCCCACTGCGCTTCGCCCTTGGCCTCTTCCTCTAGCAACTCCTTGGCTTCCTCATCCCGCTGACGTTTCTCTTCCGCCCGCTCCTCCTCCTCCTGGTCCACGCCAAATGATTGTCGATTTGCGGTTCATGTGGTACTATTTATTTCGGGAGTGGGGTGAGAAGCTCTTGTGTGGCTGGCCTTCCACCTGTATGGCACCGGCTGATGTGTCCCGAAAGTGTTCCGAGAAGTGAAAAGACCGACGTCGAGAATAAATGGAACCACTCACACACATATCCCGCCTATATTCGCGGCAAAATACATGTATGAGTTGGCGCTGCGAGTGGTTACGAATTCCCGCCGCAAAAGCAAGGCGAAGGAGGGAACACACAAAAAAAAATCATTTGCATGGCCTTCATCCTGTGTGACTTCGGGTGGTACAGTGAGTCCAAACATACCGAAATGTTTTTGAATCCGACGTTCAGGATACACGATGGGATGGCGTCACAACCCGGTGATCGATTTATGGTTGACCCCCCCCCCATCCTCCTCTCAACTAACGGAAAATATGGCGTTTCAAAGGATTGTGAGGGCTTGTTTACGAATGTTCGTCCCCCTTTAGTAGGTGTCATTGACGAGGGATGTGATTGGTTGGCCAACTCTGAAAACAAGTGTTTCGTCGCCTCTCTCTGCGAACTTATTTTCCGACCGCACCGTTGTTCCGCCTTGTTGAGTACAAGCCAGCTGTTCAACTCATCATCAGTAGAGTGTCCTGAAGACACAATTTTCCCGATTGACCAATTATTAGTGTCAGTTGTTCCAATTGGAGTGGGTCTCCTTTGCCTGTTATACGGCTCTTGACGCTCACATATTCCAAACGTTGAACCGACCACCACAAACACGATAGTGTTGCCTTTCTTGTCTGTTAGTGTCTGCCATTTTTACTCTCATGACGCTGCTGGTAAATCCCCTGCTGCCGCGTCTAGGTCTCGCTTTCCGACATGCTCACCCTCTTGTCTCTCTGGCGCTGTTCCTCCGTGAGCATCTTCTGGAACAGGCTCTCGTCTCCCCCCCTGCTCCTCTCCTCATCTGCTCGGTTCTTGTCCGAGAGAAAGTCGTTCGTTAAGACCAAGAGGTCGTGGACCATCACCATGCCCGTCCCGGCTACCTCCGCCGCCTTCACGTCAAGCATGTGCTTCAACCTCGCCACCTGGTCGTTTGATATTGTTGTCAGTTGTTGCTGTTGTTGTTGTTGTTGATGATGATGTTGTCAAAGGTATTTGTGTAGTCCTTGTTGGGTGATCATGACTTGTGAACAGGCCGAGGGTTAGAAGCCCATGTCGATCTCAATAGCGAGAAACAGGGGGCCAAGACAGCGATGTGCTGCAGCTCCGACACAACAGTGGGACACGTTTGCACACAGACACAGATTTTCGAGCTCCTTGAGGTGGTCCCTACTTTTATTGCTCCAGCTCTATAGCTTTGGCTTTGCCTACCTCTGCCTTATGGCGCGTCTACCTTGCGATCCCCTCCCCTTGTTTCTCATCCCCCCTCAACCCCACGGACACACCTCATCCTCGTCGAGTTGGCTTGGCGACTCCAGCTCCAGACGCGGCGGCACTTTCGGGTACCTGAGGTCGAAGCAAGCAATCGAAACACGTCTCACAGAAATTGTTCTTACACTGGGTTTTGGTGAGCTCGGACGGGGTTTACTCACCAGAGTAACAGCTTCTGCCCTTTGTGTGACGTGTTCCATACGTCGGTCACCCCCAAACCAAATATGGGAGAAAAATCACACAGCACTACTACAGCGAGGGATGTAAGACTTCCAGAAAAGGGGAATAAATCCCATCGCTCAACTCGGAGACTGAGTCAACATGATAATTGTTTTGGGAGCACCATTGGTTGGTCGAACGCCAAACTAGAGAGACAAAAGTCGCGGCCACCCACCTGGGGTTGAAGATGACCACGACTGTGATGCGGGTAGGCCGTTTGGCGTCCAGGGAACCTGGATCGGGATAAGATGCATGGGTCACCAGCCGGACACTGTTGCACGACTGCTGCCCCAAGAGTTGATGACAGTATGGGCATCATTGCTGGGGAAGTAGTAATCAAAAGGTGGGTTCTTCGGCAGCCGGGATCAAGGGCATCAGTGGTGGCAGCCAACAACACCGGCTCTACTGGTACAGCAAGAAAGAAAAAAGGAGATCCATCGAAGGGGCATGAATGCAAGATTTTTGCTTTAGCTTCGGCTTATTCGTCGGAAAGCCTGCGTGCATGTCGGTATACGCGCGTACATGACACAAACCTACGGGCAGCAACAGGTGGCTTAACGGCCGTTCATAGTTGGAAAACAGCGATAAGTGTGTGGACACACTTGGGGGTGTTGCCATCCCGCCAAACACGCTCGTCTGTTCAACGAACGTACCTGTCGCCACAGAGGCAATAGTACCACACCACGACGTTTTGAACCACGCAATGAGAAAAAATTGCGTTGGAATGAACGGCTACCGAGGGACACCAACAGCGGTGAACATTTGAAGCGTTGGGGTTGAGCGAGCGACCTCTCCGGAAGAGGATGTGCGTGGACCCGAAGTTGCTCAAGGTAGCACCACACGGGCAAGCGGCACAATCATAGGCAAGGTTACATTCGAGAAAGCTGAATCGCCCGGGGACAACTGCGTTTCGGACTTGGGTATGAGCAAGGTTACCTCCGGCATCCTCTGAGTGAACCTGAAGGGAGGGGCGACGGGGCATTCGGCGGCGGGAGCTTGGCTATGTACCAATGTGTTACACATATTTTTCCCGCTGGCGAGAAGTATCGCGGGGCGTCTTCGCAAGAGTGCACTCTATCGGCCTACGGTAGGCCACAGTACCCGGGCTTGAAACAAGAAAAACAATTGTATCGGGGGAAGCATTCAGGACGAATATTGTTCCGAATCGAGCGAGTAGATTGCAAGCTGTTCAATATGGAGTAACAGCACACCGGACTGCAGTCTACAAGTGAAGATGGCCGCAAATTTGGCAAGAAAAAAACTCCGTTCATAGCAGTTGTTCCGCAGAGGTCAGAAGTGCACCAATATTCCGTACATATGTTATCATGCATTGCTGATGCCTATTTCGAATGGGAAGGGCATCCCTTCCTGGAAGCACACCAAAAGACACCAGCACGGCAGCAGAACGTTACCTCGCGAAAAGCGACTGCGCAAACCCCGGCATGTACGTTTGTGCTCTCGATGCTACATAGCGCGCTCACCCAGGGGGCAGACAGGTATCGCGATCGCTGGACAATTCCAAACGGGAGGCCGGTCTTGGAGTTCAGGCCAGATCGCTCGAAGGGCCTCGATCTCTTGCGCCGCCTCCGACTCATCCATGGCCGCAGCAGCGGCGGCAGCGTTTAGAGAGGGTTGGGCAAGCTGCCCTTATGCGGAGGTTTGCAGGAGGCCTGCTTCGCAAGCTTCTCTAAAGAGCCTGCTCAGCAGGATGGTGCTCACGTGTAAGGGATTAGCTTTGAGATCCAGTACCACACAAAGAGGGCACTAGGTTGCTGCAGAGAGCACTGGAGGGGAGAAAGAGGGAAAGCGTCATGCCGCTATGCATACTACGCAGCAGACGGAAGGGGAAGGAGGGCTCAAGTAGCCTGGGAAGAGCGGCAGAACGGCGACGTGCTGAATAGGTTCCAAAAATGGTTCTGAACCATTTCGTCGTGTTTGCCTTGCCGTCTCCAGGCGATCGTGGTTGTCTTCCGTCTCCCGCCTCCCGTCTCCGAATCCCAGCCGCCGCTTCCCTCTCTGCAGTCAGAGTCTGTTATCTGCCGGCTACCCTTCCACGGAGGAGTTACTTGAACTCCTCGCGCGGCGCTCCCTTAATCAGCTACTCATATTTTTCGGGATATATGCACCAACTGCACTTGCAGCAGGTGCTAGTGCTGCTGTGGACCCGCGTCCTGCTCTGCCTCGCGTCGTCACCCTCATCGCCAGCAACCATAGCCGGAGCGGGAAAAAGTGCGCTACAGCAGCACCAGGACCCTACCTTTGGAAAAATGTCCACCACAACCACAACGGGGGAGCCGGACTCAGCACAACAACATGCGCCCAGACCGCAGCTTTCGAGGCGAATAACCCTCCATACCGAACCAGCGCATATCGAAGCCGTTCTCTCCAGGTACGCCGGGATGAACCCACCGCCTGTAAACCTTGCTCAGGGCGTTTGCCACTGGGATCCACCCCCGGCAGCGCTGCGGCAGATGGAGTCAGGGCTGCGCGAACCAGCCAACCATAAGTATGGGCCTGCGCTGGGCCTCCCGGCGCTGCGTGAGGCGCTGGTAGCGAAGCTGGAAGAGGAGAACGGCCTCGATATGACGGGACAAGAGGTGACGGTCGAGACACCAAACAGGCCGCGTATGAGTTGCATGCTGCCGAGTTACGGTCTAGGGCAGGGGCTCCGAATCAGGCAGTGCCGTTGACGTCTCCCTGGCGGAAGTGTATCTGTAGTTGACCTACGTATGCGAGGTAGTATCATGATGTACGTGGTGGCCCTTATTCCTTCCATCCCTTTCTCGTGACCTATGTAGGCTTCGCGCGCCCTTCGCTGACGGACAAAACATAGTTTAACCCCCTGGTCTCAACCCTCCTTTCTACCGTGAGTTCGTGTACGAGCGTGAGCCCCCAGCCCCAAGGTTTACGGCTAACACCGCGATAGGTACCTTTTGGCCTCGACTTGAACGCGATGTTCTCCCCTCTCCCTCAAAAGACGCCGCTCTGTCAGCTTTGCGAGGCGACGAGTGCACGAGCTGGACTTCCTTCTTCCTGACAGAGCACCCCCGCTCTTGTCCCGCTCTTGTCATACTCGGATTATTGCAACCGTTTTCAGGTGATGGTCACCTCTGGTGGAAATCAGGCGTTCGCCATGGTCGCTCTGGCCTTGCTCGACCCAGGGGACCGGGTGCTTTTGGTGAGGCCTAGTCGTACCTACACCCACACAGCAGTAGTTGTGCAACGGCACTATCACCAGGACTGAGGCTATCGGTGAGGCCTATAAGAGGGGTTCGCATTCACTGTAGCTTTGGGGATTCTGGATGGTGTCCATGCTCCTTGCACCGTGTGTGGTTACCATGCGGGAAGACCAAGTGCGTGTGAGAGGAGCAGCGACAGGATCGCATGCTTGCCGGTGAAAGAAAGAGGGACAACCCACGAGGAAGGGGTACGAAGCACAGGTTGTGGTGTATTCTGTATCGTTCACACGCGAAGACATAATATTGAAGCGTTCGGTGTTGCGAACGGAGGCTGTTTTGGCCAGGGCGAACACATCTTTTGAAACGTGTTTACTTTCTCAACTCTTAGCAGCGTTGTAGTTGCCAGACGGGCCGAACGTGTCCCCCTCGTTTCGCCGAAATGATAATTGTACGTGCGCATGCATACGGCAGTACGGAATAGAGCATCAGTGATGGTGCACACGTTACGGAAATCCCCCGTCCCGCTCTGTTTTTACGCTGTCTCACCGTAGGGGACAAAAGTGTGCGCGCCGTACGCGAATGTGCTCATGGCCGTAGTATGTGGTGTTTCGCACACTCCTTTCGAAATCGTTTGGTTGAGATGCGAATGTTGTTATCCACGGTTTTCCGCAGGCACGTCCGTTCTACTGCGCGCACCAGTGTGCCGTTCAGCTCGCGGGGGGCACACTGGTGGAGTGCGACTGGGACACTTCGACGCTGTTGCCGGACATGGAGCAGCTACGACGGGAGGTGCAGCGAGGTGTCAAGATGGTGGTCATCACAACGCCAGGTGACCGTTTTTTTTCATAGTTTGTGCCGCAATGCTGTGGCGAAAACTGCAGTGCGTGACCAATTCCGATATGCAGAGGATGTACAGGCACTAGCAGCAACACTAGACGAACTAGTCAGTCGCTAGGCAAGTTTTGTTACTTCTCCAACTGCTCTGTGTCGACCTTCATCAGTAGGCTAGAACCAATAGTCGATCGTTCGCTCGCTCCCAAAGGCTCGGTGCCGGCTTGAAGACGCAGACCCCTTGAGACAAAGTTTATCTCCTTCGCAGACAACGTTATGTTGCCATGATTCGATTTCCCCCACCGCCCGCGTCTCGCCCGACAACACTTACACGCACAAAAGGAAACCCTTCGGGAGCAGTGTGCCCCCGGGAGACCCTGGAAGAGATTGCACGGCTATGCGGGGAGAACAACGCCTGGCTGGTGGTCGATGAGGCCTACGAGCACTTTCTACACGACGGCGAGAGGTAGGGAACGGGACCTGCAGGCAAAGTAAGCGCAGTGTAAATACGTGTAGGAAGCACCGTTTTGCGTAGGTCAGCGCGACGGCGATGCTCCAGGCTTGTGGAACGTGCGGCTAGCGTCGTTGCGATATTTCCCCTTGGGCAACATTCTCAGGTTTGCTGGCGGGGATCGACTGGTCTGTTGTAGTCGCAAAGTCGCTCTGTCCTTGTCGTCAAGGTTGGTGGTGAGAGCGTTGGCTCGGCCAAGTCAACCCGGGCAATAGTTGTTCTCTCTGACGCCACAGCAAGCAAAGTCATCGGAACGACAATATCATGTCAGGCCATCCCTCGTCCAAAACTCCATCCTCTTGTACTTCGGAGGCCAAACCCCTTGCCCGACGTTGGGCTCGTGTTGTTGGGCCTGGAGCCCATTCCCACCCCTCTCATTATTCTCCCACCATCTCTCAACCCTTATGCGGGGACCCCCAACTCAGTGTTCCCACATTACGAATCACCACACCCCCGCCTGCTCGATCCGTTCTTCTTCTCCAGGCACTTCAGCCCTTGTGGCAACAGCCTCGGCTGCCCCGATAACGTTATCCACCTGTTCACCATGTCGAAGTCGTTCGGGCTGGCCGGTTGGCGAGTGGGTTACGCGGTTTACCCGTCTTGGGCGAGCAAGGAGATGGTCAAGGTGCAAGACACCCTGCCGACGCACGCCTGCACGGGGAGCCAAAAGATCGCCCTCGCCGCACTGGAAGGTGTCTGTCAGTTCGATCCGGTTTCAACGTTTTCCCGGTTGCTGCCGCTGTCGCACGCGAGGATGTCGTGCCTACCGTGTCCTGTGGATTTTGCTGTCCGTTTTTTGTTTGTCCGAGGGGGCTGGTGTGCTCCTGACGACGGCGGGGAATGTTTTTCAGGAGAGTTTTTCTACAGAGACAGGGGGAGGAAGCTCGAGGAACACATTTTGACTCTTCAGCGGTGGTAGTTGGCGGGCATACCGCCAAGGGGCCATGGAAATATGAATTTCTACGGAAAATACCACGAATGTGTGAATTCCTCCCGCCCCTTCCGCTCGCCCTCCTTGAACTGGAACTAAAACATGTCATACATCGCCAAAGGTGGTGTCGACTGGGTGAAGTCCAAGGTGTCATCGCTTTCAAGGTGCCGATCGGCCATGTGGGCTGCCGTGAAAGATATGGGAGGCGTTATGGGCAAGGGGTCCTTCTACTTTCTCGTTCCGGTGCCGGTGGAGGAGGACAGGGCGGTCGACGTCCTAGCCAGGCGGTGGGGTGTACTTACCACCCCAGGAAGGTGAGAGATTGGAGGAAGATAAATATTGAGAAACTTGATGGTCGTTCGTCATGTGTTGACCAACACAACGCCGCCTCCGGTGCTCACAACGCGCGACGCTGCTGCGGACGATATACCTAGGGCCTTGATAAAGTGGCAACAAGGAAACTATCGGCACTCTACCTTGGCGACGTTGGAGAAACCTTGCCTTGCACTTGCGAAAACAAAACAAACATTGGCTGTGGCAACTTTCGTTCCCGGGATGGAGGAATTGGCCATCACATCCCATCCCTGAAGACTTGTTGTGAAATGTTGAAGGAATTGGGAATCAAATCCCGTTCCTATTTGTGGCATAATTGTTAAGCGGCAGTAGTCACAAGCTAAATACTGAAGAGCGCTGGCCTGAGACTGGGCGGGTGGAGGCAAGACAGATATTCCCAATACTGGGCAAGTTGGCAGGGTGTTTTGGCTGTGTGCGGGCCGCTTCGCCAAAGGTTTGCCCGTGGGAATCATGTCAACCGACTTCGGTGCCGGGTCCGCTCACTTCCCCCCCCCCTTCCTTCAATTTCCTCCGCTAAAATCGCCTCAATACCACACGTCGTGTCTTCCGTGGGCTCTGTTTTGCTCTTTCCAGGGCGTTCGGCGCTCCGGGACACATCAGAGTATCTTACGGATCCCTTCCGGAGGAGCAATGTCTTCCTGCTATTCGAAGCCTAGCAGAGGGCTTGCGAGAGTTATCCAACGAGACTTCGGAGACGCAGGCTGAACGTGGTTAGTTCTGCCGCATCGCAATATGTTCTAGATGGCACGAGCGGCCTAACCTTGCGGGGAGTTTCGAAACGTCCTCTCGTCTGGGTTCGGTCCGAACAGAACGATTGAGTGATTGGAGTTTTGACAAGTGAGAAAGGGCGCGTTTGCCCGATACAGGTTGCGGGTGTTCAACTCTCACTTCGTAGCTATTATAGACCTCGGGACGTTTATAGGGTAGGGGTCATGGATGTTGCCCAACACAAGGTGTGTGCTTTTGATAAATTGTTTCACCTACAGCTGCTGTGAGTTTTAAAGTTGCTGGATTAGACTTATTTACTGAAGCATCGTTCCTGAGGCTGCGGGATAAGCCGACTTGATGAAGCCATCCGACTCGATATGCTGTAACTGGGTGCCTTCAGCGGATGGATGCATCGGGCCTGCTTTTCAACGGGTTCAGGGTTAGTGGTGTTTCATATTCCGTCTGTTTTTTCAAGCCCCATTTGGCCAGCAGTTCTTTTGGCGTTGCAAATGTGGAAGACTAGATGAATGTTGTTTGGCACGCGCGTGCGCGGCAGGCTCCTTGCACGCATGGCTTAGCCGACCTTCATTGTCTCTCATGGTCACATGTCATGTTGGGTAACCCGTGTAGTGCGGCAGAGTGGACGCGATGGGCTAGTTCGGCGTTTGTTCAACGACTGGAGAAAAAATATTACAACGACTTGACACCAGCCTAGACTGAAATAACGCTCTTCAGACAGTCCATACTTGAGCGTAACGTCTCCAGAACTAGGGCACAGTGTCGGCAATACGGCCTCGTAGGTAAAGGGCAAGACATTACTCCCAGTGTTCTCGATGGCGACAAATGCCGAGGCAGTCATGTGCCAGCACTGCTGTGAGGCTGAGCGTGCCATGCGAGTTCGTCTATTATTATTTCTCATCTGTTTGTGCCGATGGCTACTACGCACCACTGGCGGTTGCCTCGAAGACAGTAAATGTGCGAGTGATCGCCCACCCCCTATGTAGACCCTCTTTCATACCTCGAGTGCTCCACACCCATGTGACCGCGAATGCCGAAAATGGTGGCATTCGGAAGGTCCTGTCGGCATTCTGTTTGCACGCATCGGTTGGTTGCGCATCCTCTTAGTTGTGAAGCAATCGGCCTTTGGAAGTCAGTGTAACGGATATGAGATCACTCGCACGTTCAAGGTAGCGAGATGCAGAGAGTGCGAGACTTGACGCAACCAAGCGAGGATTGTTTGGGGGGCATGGGTAGGGGACTTGGCATCCAATGGGAACAAACGACGAGTTTTCTGCAGGCTTAGGAAAGCACAATGTAAGGCATGTACCCCCTTCACTTCTTGCTTGGTTGCAGCTAGTCTTGGCACACTCGGTAAACCAAGACCAACACATCTTGCTAAATAGAGAGCTGGTGCATGAGGCATGAAACAAGAATTATAGAGGTGGTTTCAAATCCTTGTCCCTTGTTTTTTTTTTTGAGAGCGCTTACAGTAGCGTGTGTCGTCTTACCTTACACAACAACCGAGCAGCAGGTATTCATCTACGAGTGCTGCCTCTCCTTACACCATCGACCGTTACTTCCGGTAGGGATAGGTGCCCCCCATTCCCACTCTCCCCAGGCCCCTAATCCTACCCCATTGCCTGTACAAATACAGCGCCAAAACACCAGAGCCAACAACCGTGGGATGATCCGAATACCCTTTGGGCGCCCCACGCACGCGGTAAGAAAAAAACAATACGGACAGGTGCCAACTCCCAGACACCCGTTCAACTAAAAAAAAGTTCCGCAGACGCTCGATCCCTAGTTGCCTGTGACGTTACAAAGAAACGTTTCAACATACTTCTATCCGTCTTAGACATCTAGACACACCGGACACCACAGGCGAGAGATGCCAATGGGCACAACGACAATCTGTAGCTGTTGGAAACTTCCAACTACCCCCACAGGTGCCAAGATGTACCATTGATTTTCACATAGCAGAAGGCCTAAATATGTCATCACACCCGTCACCTAATAGTGTGATTCCAAGTCGCACGTTTTTTTGCGATCGGACATCCGTTCTTCCTGAACCCGCACGGTTTTCGGCAACAAAAAGCAGTCAAGATGCCTTCACGAGAAGACCCTTGCTTAGGGTGGAGCGTACTTCTGTCACTAAGTCTCTGCGGGTGCATCTTCACCCCGAGATTGTGCTGGATGTCGCCAGAAAATCTCGGCCATGATGGACACGTGGTCAGATGGGTACGAAGCTGTCGGCAGGCCCTTGCCGTAGGTAGCCTGCGGAATGATCGTTTCGTGGGATCATGACAACAAAAGTCGTGGTCGACGAGGAAAAGGGAAGGCTCAATCCTCCCCAAGAAACTAAGTAAGGCATGCGCTGCCGACGGTTGATATGATGAGACATAACTGCATGACCGCACGGTTTCATGTCCAACGTATATTAGATGACAACGATCACAGTTCTGAATCACGAGCTCACCGAAAACATACCTGTTTGAAAGAAGGGAGACTCAGCAGGGATCTAACTTGCAGATGCTGGTTGTGCCAGATGTAGTCGATCGTCCCCGCGAAGCTGCACGGACAGAAAACAGCACAGAACCGAAAAGGAAAGACTTCCTATAATTCACTTGCGCAAGTGGTGGGAATTGTTGTGGATCATATCATGGGATCGAGTCTTCTTTTGGGCTCGGGTTAGAATGCGTGTTTACTTTGAAGCGTGCAGAGGAGCAGGTGACATACGTCAGAGCGGTATTAACCTGAGCACAGCTACCGAGGAGCAGGTGATGGAACACACATCAGCATGGCTTTCGCAGCAACAACAACCAAACGCATACGCAAGAACGACTACACGTAATCCTTGCTGACGGCTCTCCTTGAGCCAAGACCCGGAAGGGATCGAAGGATTCTACAACAGCACGTCCCCTGATGGTATTCCGGAGTATACCGCAAACGTGTGAGTGGTCGCATGCCCGTGGACGTCAAAAGTAGCTCTTTTGCTCCACAACCCAAGAGGGTGTCACTGTCGAATAGGGGCATGCTGACTAGACATCCATGGAGAGCGCCTTCCTCGCACAATCGGTTACGTCAACCGAGGCTGAAGTTGGTCTAGGGGGGGTCAAAAGCCGGCAGCCACACGGTAGCAAGGGAGCCGCAACAACTAGATGAGCAGACAGAATCGCACGCGCAGTACCAACAAGTCTCACCTATCAGTGCACGTAGTCAACTGCGGCTCTCCGGACGGCCCGTTTCCCTGCTGCTGCTGCTGCTGGTGCTGCTGCCGCTGTTGCTTGCGCTGCTGCTGCGACTTTTTTGGTCGCACTGAATCTTGATTCTGCGACAGACTGTCGCCACCGCCGGTTCGGGCCCCTAGGCGAACGACCCCAATCTTGTGCTTTCCTGTGGCTTCGCACACAGAATACTCTCCAGGAGGGTGATTTCTGGATAACTGCCAAGGAAAATCAGAACAACGGTGGGGGGGGGTTGTGTTTTCTAACCCCCGTTCAAGGCGAAACAATGCCTATCCTAGAGCCAAACGGGTGGGGAACATAGGGAGTTAACCTGGGCATTGATTGTCAAACGGTAGGCAAATCTCAGAGAAGAAATAAACTCGACGCAAGGGATTGAAAAATACAGCATACGCTTGAAAATTGACGTGGCTCGGTGCGAGCTCGTGTAGGGAAAAGTGCTACGGTAGTTGAATTCAACACGTGCGCTCTGGACGGCGTGGAAGAGTTTCAGGAGCCAACGCAACCTGCGAGTCGAAGACACTGGAGTAGGCGCCGTAGGCACTGCTGAACCCACGGAACTCTTGCTCGTAGCACCGCACTTCCCCGTCCTGATCTCGCCCCCCTCCTCTCTCGTGTGAAGCCGGAGTGAGCTCTCCACCAGCTGTACCACTCGAACTGGCAGCAGCAGCGCTGTCATCATCAGACACCGTCACAGTATGACCCGCAGAATCGGCGGGACGCCCTTGTGTCACCGAGTCACCTCCTTCCGTAGCCCGACTCATCGAAACAGGGGTTCCTCCCAGTCCTTGCGCTGCTTCCACTGATGCAACCTCTTCGACGGTTCCATCTGCCGCTTCTGCTGCTTCCCCTATATCGTGGACAACCTCGCGTAACGCACCGGGGGACGTACTGCTCCTCGCCGCGGAGATCACGGCAGCGTTTTTGGCGCGGATCGCCTCCAGCTTGGCGTTGTATTGGCGAGCCTTTTCGACCTTGTCGGCTTCCTTAGCGCGGGCCTTCTCGTATCTTCTCCGGTGAAATGCCTCCGGCGTCTCGCCGTTGAAACCCCCTTCCGAGAGCAGCCTGTGCTGCACGAGACAGCCAGCAGACGGGGTACGTATCATGTAGAGCGCGCTGGGCTGGTTTGGTTCAAAATCACTTTCGGGTGGACGCGTCCAGACGTACCACCAAGGGGGCGGTTCCACCGCACAGACACGGAGGAGCATGCACCGCAAAAGTCACAATTAAATACAAGAGCTCACGCATTGCCCACGCCCAGCGACAAGCGGGAAGCAGGGCTTGACATATTCTATTTTTAATCGCACGATCGGCACCTGTAGACGTCCACACCGGGCACGGTGTTCAAGTCTCCCGCGAGTACGACCGGGACCACGGAGTAATCATCGCCGAAACGCCCACGAAGGAAAGCCGCCACGTGCGCCATCAGGGTTTCCGCCTGGGCGAGGCGTATGGCTCCTCTGGCACACACGCGGGAAGGTTCGGCAAGCGCAGCACGGGATGTCATGTGGAATGACGCGCAGGTTCAGGCGAGAGCACGGTATGGTCATAGTTCCACCGCAGAAAGAGCAGACCAATGGCGGAAGGAGACCTTTACACGGGTTTCGATGAGTGCGACAACAAAGCATGCGTAAGGTTCAACCAGGGTACGCTGTTTTGTTTGGTGATCCGACGGTTCAGGTTCGTGAATTTGCTTGAAACCACGGAGTCTTGTCTGTTTGCTTTTGGAGGGAAAGGTGGTGAGGGGAAAAGGACCTCCGGCGTTCGCTGTCAAACGTGCAAAACGACTACGCCGTGGTGCAATACTTGAATCGCAGCACGGGGAGGTGACGAATTGTGTTGTTTAGTCTGTGCCAGCGACCGCGAGACCTTCCCTGACCCACTTCGATAACGGGACCCGGTGGAACAGATTCATCAGCAACGAAATCCTGATACAAGCAATCCTAAAGTTCGGACATGCAACACCACGTTCGGTCGTTGGACTCTTTGTGGCAAGACCGTGGAAAAGGTGCCTATTGAAAGGTGTCGTGACTCAAAAGACGTTAAAGCCCAACGAATCAATTGTGCCTCCCGCATCGACACCAATTTCTAGCTCGAACCAAGTTTCGCTTGAGATTTACACGGATGCGGAGACTGAATGTCCTCGCTACACCACGTAATCGGAGTTCTCTACCCTGTTTTCTCTTCTAGCGCTTCGAAGTTATGCCGCAAAAGCACCGTGAAGGAGGCAGATCCACGAACGGGGGTTTCAAGCCTCACCCGTCCGGGTGCCAGTAGAGGTGGGTGGTGGCCACGCAGACCAACCCAGAAGGATCGTCCTTCGTAGTCCTTGCCGCCGCTCCCACTCCTCCTCCTTCTGCTGCCTCGCTCCCGCCCCCACACCCTCCTTGCTCAACACGAGGACCGTTTCTCGTTGATCCATTGCCCCTAGTTCCATCTGCTACCCCTACTGTCTCGACAGTTTCATCGTTGTCAGGAAGGCCAACAGGAGTAGGGTGTCTTCGTCGTCGATGCTGTCTGCGGTCTTCCAAAAGCGCAAACGCTCCTACTCCCCCCATTAGGTTCTCTCCATACTCGCACGAGTCCGAATCAAGCAGTCGGAATACCTACAAAGTGGCGGTAGAGTCGGGTATTGGTGGCAATGGCGGCAGATATTCACGCTCTGGGTGGTCGCCACCTCGTTCTTGCTTTGCGTTCTGCTGTTGTTGTGGAATAGACATCATAATAAAGACGGTCGGGGTTATCGACCAAGTTTCGTATGCTAGCAACATAAACCAGTATTGTCCGTCCTTCGCTGGGCGCGAGTTCGACAGCTTCAGTGTCTCACTATCCCCTCAGCAACCGTGGAGATGTTGCGCTATCGCATCATTCGTTATTGTTTGTTGTATGCATACGGAAGACCCTGTTGGCGTGGTTGTTATCGAGATAAATGTCAGCCGGAGTTGGGGTCTTTAGCCTTGGTCGCCCTTTAACATCCACGCGATAATGGTGGCGTCATCACCCCGGCCGAAGGCCTGAACTTACCAGCCTCTGGTCGGACAGGCGGCAAGGAAAAGCAGACCAAACATGAGACCAACTTGCATCTTCCGAAAGAATATCAGCAAGGGCTACAGTTGCAGAGAAAAGGCTAGGGCTATCGACATGAGCCTGACCTGGGTGTCGTACAGGATTGCGACGCCGTGACTTAGCCCGTTATTCTTACGTCTCTTGTACACGCCTTCGAACCTTGTTCCCTGCAGCCACGCGTCCCGGGTGAATGTATCGTTGGCACCAAGAGCGGGGGGCGATCACGGGATACTGACTGTTGTCGGTGAATTGCTAGGCCGCGAGCTGGGAACCATTGCGCCAGAAACACCAGGTAAAGCACCACAAGTCTGCGCGACGAGGACGAACAAACAGACAAATACACACATGTACGCAACAGACGCTGCTGTAGGAAGTTACAGCCACAGGTCTCACGTTACGTGCCCGGTGACTCTGTCGCGTGCGTGCCGTCCTTCGTATTGGCACGCAGGCGCACACGTGGTCGAGTTTCCCCCGTGCCACCGTGCCAGACGTACTACTAGAAATCGCTTCTTCAGCCGTTCGTCGTGTTTCGAAAGACTCAAGATTGTCATTGTCTCCCAACTACAGCACGGTCGAACAAACACACACAACACAGCAGTACACACCTGATCCGCCCGCTCCCCATGTTCTTGTAAGCTCGCCAGAATTTGATCGTAAAGATCGCACTCTTGCAGGCAGATGATGTCCGCGCCGTACCGTGAAACTTCGGCCCGCACCTGGCACGTAAGTATGATACGACAAAATCAATGCTAAGACCAAATGTTACGCTACCCCTTTCTTTTCGTTTGGCCATGACAGGTTCACCGACAGCATCCTTCTGGAGAGCCACGGCTGCTCAGCTACATCGGCGAGCGACTAGTCGCCAAGCCGCCTGCTTCCCCACCCCTCAGGCTCGACTAGAGCCGTCGCTTACAAGACAAGGTCAAAGGCGCTCAAATGCCAACCTATCCACCCACAAGAACAAGCTCTCACCCTAGGCCACCGGTTGTGCTTTCTGAGCTGGTTCCTGGGCACGTACTTGAACATCTTCGAGGTTGCCAGTTGCTGCGCCAACATATTGAAGCTACGCGAGTCGCGTGTTTGGGCATGGCAGGTGAACCGGCGGTAGCGGGCAGGCGAGTGGAGGCGTGGAACAGTATCGTCGGCTTAAACGTTAGCCAGGCGTTTTAGTTACACCCCGCCGACCTCGACTATACTACTCGCCAACACGCGACACGTGTTGTGTGTCTTTTCTCCCATCCAACTCACCTCATGACTCGGAAGCATTCAGATTCTTCAACATCCAAGTCCGCCGCACCGGGCACGACTTTCAATTTTCGAGTCATGTGGGCTTGTTTCTGCGCCCTAGCCTTCGCTTCGTCTTTGCCTTTTCTAGAGTTGTTGCCCCAAGGGACACGCCATTTCCTTGCTTTGCCTGAACCTTGGCCGAGATCTGACCGAGGATACAGCAGTCACGGCAGCAGCGGTAGCATCAATATCAGGTAGGCGGTAGTGTACAAACGATGTAGCGATATGTAGCTGAGAACTTGACTTGCAGATTCGTTTCAATATTATGCAAGAAAGCCATGAGTAGTCTATAGACAACTGTCACCAGCAGTAGCTCGATAGGATAAAAAGGATGTCAGTAGCGTCCACGTTTGAGGCACACCAAAAGAGGGTTACTTGTATTTACAGAGGCACCTCCGCAGACAATAAGGGCGGGTTTTCTAAGGAGTCGACGCGGCAAGGACTGGGAGGGCATATCCCCTATCGGCCTACCCCACCATGGGACTATCGTTGCCCCTTCGAGATGCGACGCCAAGTGTTGACCAATCACAATCTGTCGGCCACCTCCCACCCCCAACTCGCCGCCAAATGCGGGTGTTGCAGGGGTGTCAGTGTGCCATTGTTAAATGTTCAAAACGGGGCCTCAATGTGCAGACCCTTCTCGCAAGATCCCATTTCTACAAGGATCGTGCATGATCAAGAGCGCCTACAATAACGGCCGGCAAGTAGGGCAAAGATCACATGAGAAAATCCTTGGCACGTGTGCGCGCGAAAGAGTTCTGGCAGCAGACCATTGCGATGTGTTGTGCAGATTTCCGCCGAACAAGCCATACTCGTACACCCGTTGTGTGTGCCACGCGAGAAGGGAACCACTTCCATCTCTCACAACAGGAAAATGTGAACAACCCACCTCTGCTATCACGGAGTCCTGGCAGCGTTGTGGTAGCAGCTGCCGATTCTTGCGGAACAGAGAGCAAGCGGTTGGTCGCGCTTGGTATTATCCTACCATGGTATCCCAGAGCGGAAGGTCCACGGAAGAGCGTCGTCACGGCTAGCGATAACGGACGCAGACCGCACGACGTTCGGATTTTCATACCCGCACCACGTACGGGGTGGCACACCGGCCGTGTAGACTGTAGACTGTAGAAGTATTGCACATGGCGTCAGAGAGGATGGCATCTAGCCCGTCTAGGGGAGGAAGCAAGCACTCCCCGGGTTTTCCACAAAATATTTCGGTTCGTTCCCACAGTTCCGCCCCTCGTTCTCCTCGTTTCCGCCGCCGCCTGCACGCCTCTATCTGAAAGGAGTGGCCCGTTCTACTGCTCTTGGCACCGCTAGCACCTTTTTGCCTCACACAGACCAGCATATCGATATGCGATACGCATCCGTCAATAAAGCGAGTACCGTTCCTTGCCCCCAAATTCCCTGCAGCAGTATTCAGCACAGCAGTAGCGGCTGACTATAAGCATACAAGCAATCAAGTTGATTGCTCTTCGCAGGTACTCCCCAGACAATCTCCAGTTGAGAGCACCGTTGCCGTTGAACGTCTCGGCACTGGCGTGTTGACCAAGGCAAGGTTGTTCGCAAGGTTTGCACAGAATCTCGAGGAGAAACAGGCAGTGAGGGTTGCGGAAACGCTTCCTGTTTCAAGGCTTCACCGAGGACACCTCCGGGCCGGGGGGGATTGCCCAAGAACATCCTCAGCAGAGAAAAGAGATGCCACTCTCAACAGCCTTGAGCTTCGTCGCCGTGGGAGCGTGTTGGGGGTGCACCACTCCTTTCATAAAAGACGGTGAGGTTAAGGTGGCTATGTGGATACGCGTATCACCAAAGCGAAATCTAGTTGTCAGCCTCAAGTCTCGATGCATTCGTTTGGAATACCGGCATTATTGAGATGGACCCCCGCTTGTAGTCTACTTGTTGCCTGCCCGTTTGGGGACAACAGCAGTCGTCCGTAGACAACTAGACTACATACGGACTTCGGTAGGTGCTGCACACGTCGGGGTATCTGGTGCAGTCGGTTTGGTTTGAAGGTCTCGATGGGTTGGGGGTGCCGATATTGTGTCGAATGACACCCACGGGGGATGCGAACGAGAGGTGCACTCTGCAATCACATTCTAAGTACCCCCCCGCGAAAATATTATACGTTCGTCGCTATATGCAAAATCAAGAACGGCCCTACGCAACGGTTTTAGTAACCAGGGTACACCTCGGGAAAATTCCCGCCGTTTTTTTCCCGCCGTGGTGGGCGGTCCCGGTACTGGCGGGAATTACCGCCACATTCGGTGGTACCGGGAACCGCCGAAGGCGGTACCGCCGAAAAACGAAAAACCGCCGACCGCCTAAAAAGTACCGCCACATTGCAGTACCGCCGAAAAAGTACCGCCAAAAAACGAAGTACCGGGAACCGCCTAAAAAGAACCGCCATATTGCAGTACCGCCGAAAAAGTACCGCCGTACTGCAGTACCGCCAAAATGGTACCGCCAAAAAACGAAGTAGTACCGGGAACCGCCAAAAGAGAACCGCCATATATATTGCAGTACCGCCGAAAAAATACCGCCGTACTGCAGTAGCGCCAAAATGGTACCGCCATACTTCAGTTTTGCCCTCTAAAGTAGCATAGGGCACTAACTCCAACGCCATGTCTCGCGCAGAACAGTGGTTCGAGTCCAACTGGCGTGCGTCTTTGTTCACATTTATTCTTTTTTCTTTTTCTCTTTCGTCATACATATATATATATATTTTTTTTTGGTTCTGCCTTGTTCCTTTTCGGCGGAACCTCTTTCATCTGTCGCCGATCGTCAGCTGTTCGAACACACCCGTGGCATTCGACGGATCGCGTTTTGGCGCGCTCTTCTCTTTTTGCATTTTCTTTCTTCTTTTGGTTGCCTTTCGTTTGTCCATGAACAGCTCGATTTGACCATGGGTATGCATCGCATCGTGAAATCACGAAATCATATGGGAGATGCAGGCTCTCAAGCGTACATACAAGAGACAAAAAGAGACCCATCCTGAAAGAGAGGAAAGAGGTTCGCCGGTTGATGGGGCGCCAAGGGCACCGAAATGTAGTTTGGCATCGCCATATTTTATATTTTGATATTCTGGTCTACAACCCTCGAAGGCGGTGCCGCCATATTTCAGTACCGCCACCAAAAAACCGCCATATTTGGCAGTACCGGGAACCGCCGAAGACGGTACCGCCATATTTCAGTACCGCCAGAAAAATACCGCCATATTTGGCAGTACCGGGAACCGCCGAAGGCGGTACCGCCATATTTCAGTACCGTCAGAAAAATACCGCCGTATTTGGCAGTACCGGGAACCGCCTAAAAAAACCCGCCATGTTGACGTACCGCCAAAAAAGTACCGCCATTATTGGCAGTACCGGGAACCGCCAAAGGCGGTACCGCCGGAAAACGAAATACCGCCAACCGCCAAAAAAGTACCGCCACATTGACGTACCGCCCCGCCTGGATCCGCCTAAAAAACTAGTACCGAGGTGCACCCTGGTTTTACTTCAACGGGAGATAACACCAGCTGGATGGTGTGGTTTCGTATACACGCAGGGACCTCAAGCAAATTGGAGCCCGACACTCAGCAACAGCCGACGACCAACGAGAACAATCGACTCGGGAAGCTCTTCGGCCCCCTCCGAAGTTTGGCTTCGGTGAAGGCCGCAATACCCTTCTTGCTCAATCAGTCCGGGTCTACGCTTTTCTACTATCTTCTCAGCTCCCAAGGTACAGATTTCGCCCCTCCACGAGGGAACGGTAGATTGAAGACTGAGGCACATCGGGAGGAACTGCCCGCGACTCGTCTGTGATTTGCTACTGCCGGCTGAGACAGCTAACCGTCATGTGACGACGCAACAAGATAATATCGCTTCCTTTTGTCCATGGTGGGTCGCACGCTAAGTCGTACAGCCGCCCTGTTGCTTTATTGTTGAGATTTGAGGCATTCGTCGGGTAAACCTCTCGTGTTCCACGTGCTGTTCGTGTCTCCGACCGTAGTTGACCATTGAAACGTTCATCCTTGACGCCATCCGTGGCGCCTTTTCCCCAGACGTGTCTACAGCCGTGCCTGTGTGCAACGCGCTGTCGCTCGTGTTCACCGCCGCCACCGCCATGGCGCTAGGGGAGAAGGTGGACCGTCCACTTCGAACGGTGTCGGGCATTGTCCTTGCGCTGATGGGACTCGCCGTTTGTGTCGCCAGCAAGGCGCAGCTGTTGACGTTAGTTCCATGAAGAACTGTAGCCACGAGATGTTGCAAGGCAGTGGTGTGCCGCGTACGCCCATGGTACTGCGTAGATATTTGCTTGTGTCGAATGGGCTTGACAACGCCGGATCAGACGTTTGACAATCCCGTGACGCTTTGTATTATTTTATTTGTGTCGGCGGCAGAGGTTACTTTCGGATCGTTTTAGATGGTGTTGATGTGGGGTAAGGGAGCGAGATGCATAGAAGGACCGACAGTAATTGTAACAACGTACGTAGTGTTTTGCACGTTGTTTCGTGTTACATGTAGCTCGTTGTGATGACATCTTAAAATATATGATTAGTTTCAGCACAAGGCTCGTTTCTTTTTCCTCCCTGTCATACCATGCCACATGTGTTGTGAACTGCATTCCGTGCTGACGCTGTGTGGAATACGTCTGACCGATGTGGTTTAGGTTGCAGTTCTCTTATCGTATCTATCATGGGAGCACGCTGTAGCTAGCACGCAGATCACAACCACCCATCAGATCATGTTTGATCGGGGCAACTCTCACAATCTGCAGGGTGATGGCAACGAACGTCCACAACTAACTCCGTAATGCTGTCACTCAGCCAGCTCCAAGCACCATATCAAACGATAAGGGCTACACCAATTCTGCATACGGGAGTAGGTATACTTGAATGCCTCCGAATCCATTTCCAACAATCAAGCTTCCTGTCGTTTCTTGCAACCCTAAACGCCCTGCACTAGAGGGGCGCGCCGTTTTCTGGCACCCCGACGGAACTGGCCATTGCTCAGGAAATACACTGTTGGGGTTGATGTCTCTGTGAAGGTTGCAGCGGTCGACGGCATACAAAACATATCGAAAAAAAAATGCAACGTGCGGTATAAAACATATAGGATGGCCGGGGAAACCGAAGAGCAACATTTATTTGAGCAGTCTCAGGACCAACAAAACTAGTACGTCAAGACGCCGTTGCCTGCACCCACTCCCTTGACAAAGGTTTCCACGTGTGGGCAACAACAGTACATTTAACAACCTACAATACACAGACCATCCGACTGAACACGATGCATCAGCCTAGTGCCAAGCCGCACGTTAACTACCGAACATAGATTGGAACAATACTGTGTGGCGTAGCCGACCTACTCTGACCAACTCATGTACGGCCTACAAGTAGTCGTCCACTATTCGGGCAACTCCCCATCAAACTCCCAAACTGGTACGACTTGCGCACAAGAAAACACACCGATGCACCCAGGTGGACCAATCATTCTCGACTACATCGTTGGCGCGCGATCCCCGGCGTGGCACACACGTGCTGAGAAACATACTTGTTTTTACGGACAAGTCTAGTAGCCTTTTGCCGAGAACTGCTATACGCCCCCGCGAAACAAAAATTTCCCGCGACGAAATCTGGCCGGCAAATCCTCTCGCAGTCTCCGCGTCCACAATCCTGCCACAACAAAGGTCTCTACAACAACCGAAAGTATCATGCACGCGTGGACGGTAACAAGAACCGCTTCAAACACGCTCTGGCTGTCAGCCCGCTCGTCGGATACGTCAACCTTCAGCAAGAGGGCAACATACATACTTACAGCTACCACCACATGGCCCATACGATTGACCCAGGTCTCCCACCTAGACGAGTACGGAGATATCGCTTCTGAAAGCAACGCGAAAAAGAAGGCCATCATCAGCGTGATTGCAAGCTGGGCTGCGGTGTTAGGGTAAATGAACACGACTATCCCAGTAAGTAATATGCGTCGGCCGCATTCGATGACCTCGTAGTAGAACACCGATGGCTTGTACGGTTGCCAAAGCTCGGAGGTCGACTTCACGCGAGCACTGTCGTCTCGGTCGGCTTTGTCCTTTTTTAACACCTCACGATCCTTAAACAACAGAATGCTATACAACATGGGAATGCCTAGGGGGTACAACAAGATCATGAAACCTGCGTACACTTGGAAAACCTTATGCTTGCTGGAGTCGCATTCGATGCGGTAGTCTGTACGCAAGTAGTTTTTGCCGTCCTCGAGCTCGTCACACGCAAACGTTTTGAACAAGGTGGAGCTTACACTTGAGTATACCAGAAACGTCAGCAGCAGGAACACAAACACGTGCTTGTCCCAGATGATCCGCAGCTTCTCATTGGCCTCGCGATTGATACGGGTCGCAGCGGCGTAGGTTCCAGCTAAGAGAAGAACGGCGAAGATCGGGCCGATCGTAGCTGCGAGCAGTCGACCATGGAAGCCCATGTCCAAGACACATCCGGCAGACATCAACCATCCCAGGTCGAAGCCAAACACCTTCAGGCCGTCTAAGAATTGCTGGTACACACCCGGGTAGACGACGTTCGCCGCAGAAGCGAACTACAGTAGTATGGGAACGGGTGATGAGGTAGACGCGGGCAAGCAGCTGGGCGTGTCATGTTTCTGCGAGTTATAGGAACCTTTTCCCGATTTTCAGCTCTTGGCACAAATCGGAAGGCGGAATGAATTCATGAAGGCGCATCTATTGTAGTAAATCAATCATCCCGTTCCCACCCAAAATCGATGTCTGCAAAAAGTCATACCTGTGTCAGAATTTGCCACGAGACGATGACGATCTTCACAGATTGCAGCGGAACGTACCACCCCAAGCGCTCCAACACGTACATTCTCCGCTCCCCTGCCTCCCCAGACATGATGTACATGATCACAACAACGGCAACGAACAACGCCAAAACGGCCATACCAACGGCGAACACGATGCCGCCAGAGCGGCTGAAGCACTTGCTGCATGAATAACCCAGGTTCGACGCGTAACCATCGCTGCAGATGGAGCAATCTGTTTGATTTGGCAGACACGGGAGATGGCAGCATGTCGCACTTCAGTAACGATATACCGTAAGGTTGCGAGCCAGCGGACAGGGGAACGGTCGATTTTCCAAGAGTCCTTTCTCCACAACCAGAAGGTTAGCACTGTCGAAAAGGGTGGTTTTGGAAACATCTCATCGAGAGCTTTCGGGACAAGTATCAGTTGGCGCTCGCACCCTCCTGGTTTCGGAGTAATTGGGCTTTGAAAATCGATCGCACCCCTGTGCGCTGAATCGCAACCTTACGGTAGTGAATCTTGGAGCACTACGCGTGTGTGATGATATTGATGGGCACCAACAGAAACAAAAAATAGTTCGAGTGTTGGCCACTCTGTCTTCGAGTGTTGGCCACTCTGTCTGGAAACTGACGTTGGCGTTAAGGCACACCTCGAGATAAGGCCAGGGCACTTGCAACCTCGTTGTTAGAATTCTCAAAGCTGCACACACAACCAGCACAGCGCTCACATGGTCCTTCATAGCTCTCAAGGCAGTATCCTGCAGTGCCAGTCACTCCTCCTAGGCAAGCGTCAGCGTTGTAGCAAGGAAGAATCTCTTTGCTGGATGACGTAGCCCTCCAGTACCCAGGATCGATCGACAGTGTTTCCAGGGTAACCTTGCCACCCGTGCTTGTGCCATGGTCCATCACATCCGAGCAAGTTGGGACTGCAGGAGGTTCATCAAAGGAGCATCCATCGCACGCAACTCGACATCCATCGCAGACAGCCTCGAAGGTACCATTATCTGTCTGCGAAACAACAAGACGAAACATTGGGAGGCAAACCACCGAGTTTCGAAACAAAATGCGCTTGGGACTGTGGAATAAGCAATTGGAGACGGCTGAGGAAAGCGGAGATGGACGTCACGGCTCCCCAAATTCATGCTGCTACTACTGCTACCTCCCTCACCCCAGGCCTGCAAGTGTTCCGAAGGCCACGTGAGTAGGGTGTGCGCCTCCTCTCGTCGGACTAGGTACTTTATGAAAGGCTATCCTCACTTGTGCAAGACATGTCTTCGGGACCAACCTTCCTGTTGCTTCCGAGCAAACTTGTTCGCGACCTATATTCGAATAATGTTTTTGGACCTTGAGCGGCAAACATCATCATGTCTCGATCATCAACATGCACAAGTAGTGTATCGAAACCCCAACCGAGTTTGCTGCTACGTAGCATGACCTCCAGATCCAATGCAGCCACGACTCACCGCGTCGTATTCCAGGAACAGGTCTGGTCCACAGGTGAAGCCGTTGCCGGTGAAGGAGGAATTTGCCATCGTGGACACGAGCCCAATGTTGGACACCGCGGCCCCCTCTTGGCGGCCTGAAACGTTCTCGACAAAAGAGCAATTTTCCACAAATGCAGTGCCTGCCAGTCTAAGCGCACCCCCAACCTCCGCCGAGTTCCCCTTGAAAACGGAGTTGACTACAATGTCTTGCCCAGCTGCGCTGTCGACAGCTCCGCCGGATGTTGTCGCCACGTTGTCGATGAAGCGGCATCGGTCGAACTTCGTTGGAATTATGGGACTCAACATACCTCTATCGTTCCCAGACCCAAACACAGAGGCGGCACCCCCAACCTGAGCGAAGTTGGAGATGAAGCTCACGTCTGAAAACGTCGGGCCAATCCCGGCCCCAGACACGAATACAGCCCCGCCGGCAAATCCAGCTGAATTTCCGGTGAAGCTGACATCCGCAGTGTTGATATCTAAAGAACATGCATCGAACAGGGCCAGACTACCCCCGTTTTCTCCGCATGTGTTGTTGAAGAAGGTCGTGGTCCCGTTGATAACCAGGCTTGATTCTAGGGGGTTGTACTCTGAGTCGTAGGACGGCGACATCATCGCACCTCCTTCGGAGAGTGCCCTGTTCGACGTGAACTCGGTATGTTCGGTCCAGCCAACCGAAGTTCCATTCAACATGTAAACGGCGCCGCCGAAAAGAGCAGTATTTCCAGAGAACTCTGTCCCACCGCTCCAGGTTACTTCACTGCCACTGACATAGAGTGCGCCTCCGACGAAGCTCGAGGAACCCCCGATGAACCTTGTCAAACCTCCACTCCAGTAAATCGTGGAAGCGAAGACTGCACAAATGATACCACCTGCTGCTGCATCGCCGGTGACTCTGTTTTCAGTCATGGTCGTATTCCCATCCCACATAGCGACCGAGGATGAAAGATAGAGAGCCCCCCCCGTTTCGGCCGAATTATTGAACATCTGCGTATCCCCGAACCATGACATGGCCGAAAAACCGGAGAACACAGCACCTCCTGATACCGACGCATCGTTTTCTGCTAGAATTGTCTCCCCGCTCCACCCGACGCTGCCGTGAAGCACGTACAGTGCGCCTCCGTATCGGGCGCTGTTTCCGGTAAACTTCACTTGTCCGCTAGAAGAGGCATTCGAGCCATCTACGTGAAGCGCACCGCCCCACCCTATCTCTGTGTTTAGGTCACCCAACGCGCGGTTGCTTTCGAAGGACGTGTTGCCGCCGAACGACAAGCTCGAGTCCAATTCAACCAAAATGGCACCGCCCCCATCAAAAGCCGAGTTGTCGAAAAATGTGCTAGTTGTTTCTGTTGTACATGAGACACGGGACCTTGCCGACACCGCCAGAGCTCCTCCGAAACGTCCGGCTCGATTCCCTTCGAAAACGCTCATGGCTTCCCCCCTCCATGATGCGGCAGACCCTTCGTCGACGAACACGGCGCCACCGTTGTACCCTGCTTCATTACCCAAAAATGCCGTTTGTGCGCTAAATGAGGCCATGCTCCCGTTCCACAGGTAGAGCGCGCCCCCATATCCAAAGTCTCCGACCCAATTGTTTGCGTGTGTTGTCAAGTCGCTCCATGATGCGCTCGAGCCATGAATGCTGCTCAATGCGCCACCGTAGAGTCCAGCGCTGTTTGAATAAAAGCCGTTTGGGCCACTCCAGGACACGCCCGAGCCGTTGTCGATGCTCACGGCACCACCTGCACGTCCCGCGGTGTTGGTGGCGAACATAGACTCTTCGCCCCACGATGCGCTGGAGCCGCTCTGAACCCTGAGGGCGCCTCCCGAATCGCCTGCCGTGTTGTTGACCCATGTTCCGCCTCCTGAAATCACCGAGCTGCCGGTCACATACATGGCGCCACCGTCGATGCCCGCCTCATTGCCGCTAAAGGTCGAGCCTACGCAGTACACGCTCGAGCCATCGGACACATAAATGGCACCACCGTATGCCGAAGCGGTGTTGCCGACGAAGTTTGTCCCATTGAGCGTCAAGCTGGACCTTGCCGCAGCGATTGCTCCCCCAGTTGTGCTGGAGCCGTAGCTGACGTTGACGTGGCTCAAGTATAGGTCGGCGTTAACGACGGTAAATATCCGTGTCGACGCATTCCCTTCCACAACGGCACTCGAATCGGCACCTGAGATAGTGAGGACGGTACCATCCACCACATAGAAGGGCTGACCCACCACTACGCGGCCTCTCCACTCCACCTCGAACAATCCGCCGGAGCAGTTGACCGCTGCGGCCAGAGCCTGCGCTTGTGTCGAGCTTTCCACCACCCACGTCTGCTGAGCGTCTGCTGTGCAAGGGAGGGCGAGCTGCGGCGATGGTTCGCAGTCATGGAGCTCTTCATTAGCACTGGGATCCAAGCACTCGAACGAGGTTCTCATGCAGTTGACACCCTGGCAGCTGCACACACAACAATCTCCACCGTCATAGCCGCATAGATCGTTGTTGTTGGCCTTGGAGCATGAGCCATCGCCAACTGTCAGGTAGTCCCCGGTGCAATCCGGGAACTCAGCGACAAGGGAAAGGTCTAAGCAGGTGGTATCCCGGCAGTTGAACCCGTTCTCCCCACACGAATGCTCAGCAGAGCTACTGGAGGCACACGAGCACTCACAACACTGACGTGTTTGAATGATCAAAAGTTTTTCGTAAATATCAGCAGGACGTGCAGGAGGGGGGTTCAAGGAGGGCGTCATAGCAGGAGGTTTTCGTCGGCAACAGGGACATTGATGGTTTGCATCACGGGTGGGGATGCCTCGTGTTAGTTCTACTGCAGAGAGAGGCAGCACTGTTGACCAGGATTGATGCCGTGCCAGCAACAACGTTGATTGCATCGCCTGGGGTCTGATTAGGTGGTTTTACAAGGGTGACCAAAAATGCAGGGATTATTTCAGGCACCAGACGTATAGCGCATATGTTCAATACGGCGGGCTGAGTTAGTTGTTAGTGACAGGGCTCAATGACGAGGGATGCCCGATGACAACAACGTGGTTGATTGGGCGGTCTCGGTGGTCCGCTTTTGACCTTGTGGTATTGGAGCTCGCTGATAAACATGCACAGGAGGTTTACTGATAATTTCGGGCTTCCAAGAAAAACGTGATATTGTGTGTCGTGTACTGATGCCGCAACAATGTAATGGTTGGATCTCATCTTGGCCTATGGATCTGTCTACCATAGGATGAAGCGATCATGCCCGAGGGACAGCGCGGCCTCGAGGAAATTGGTACTAGTAGTTCGTTTTCGTTTTTCCCTCTCCTCCGTGCCCACTGGTAACACACGATGCAACACACCCATGCAGGGAACACCATCAGGCAGCAGCTCACAAACTTACATCCCCCCCATCGTAGTCGCACGACGGGTTATTGTTGATTGCATCGCACCAACTATCCCCTTTCCAGCTCTCTTCGCACGTCGCTTCCTCGGTCATAGACATCGGATCGCAGTCGGAGTACATGCAATCGAAGTCGCTGTCCTCACACAAGAGAGACGACGTGCAGTTGCCCTCACAGCCGTCGCGGAAAAGTGCCAGCAGCAGAGCGGCGAAAAGGCCAACAGTGATAGCATGGCGAGTCATGCTTCGTTTCATCGAGGCCACGAAAGCCCCTCGTTCAAAGGTCCTGCGGAGAGGAGAATGCAGAGTGTTCTTGAAGACAGGAAGACGGATCTGATGTCGGGAAGAACACGGTGTAGGAGGGTTTCAAAGAACAAAGGCGCCAGCTACTACATTGAAGATATAACTACATGTCAAACCTCTCCGATGACATTTTGGAGGCACTCCTATATTGGGGTAGGCCATGGTGCACTTGATGCGTTCCGAGGGCGGCCGCGCAGGGACATCGTTCGAGGAAACCGTGGTGAGTAGTATTGTAACGTGCCCAATTCTGTCATCCGACTCGCTGTGGTGTTGGGGCTGTGTGCTGGAGGTTGATCGATGCTGTGCTCGGATTGGATATGAGCGAGCAGATTGGGTGTAGCTTTGGGTCTAGGTGGGTGTTGGACCTTGTTGGACCGCCGTATTGGGTAGTGCTGCGTGGTGTTGAGGCTGCCTTTGGTCGCCAATGTCGATCGCGTTGCCGTCGCTCGGTTGTTACTCGTCTTCTGACGCCTTCTGTGGACTTCAACTTTCAGAAATCGAGAGATGCAGAACACGCCACTTTTGAGAAATCTTTGGCAAAGAAATGGGTCGATTGTCGCGGAGAAAACGTAATATATTCCCGTCGTAAAACCGATACATTCCCTTTTGGTGTCTGCAATGCGATCGCGATCGGGGGCAGACCCGACTAACGTAGAGGAGCATGAGGTGTTGGGACTCGATTTTATCTGTTATGGGCCCTGCTCTAGTTGAGCGCGGGCAGAGTGACAAAAAACCTCTCCCTTGACTCTTCACAACGACCAACTTGTCGAACAGGATCTGTGTATATGCGGCACAAATACTCCAAAGCCCGTCCCGCTGACGACACCAAGCAGATTCTAGGGGCTCTTGCCCAAGTGTCGCCCTATGGATGGTACCTGCCTTGCCTGCCTATCTACATACTTAGTGTCGCCAAGACCACCACATTTGCGTACTGATTAAATGCGGAGGGTTGGGAAGGAAAAGAGTTTCCTATTGGTGGCGCGTTCTGCAGACGTAGTCAACGTTTTATCGCCAACATAATTTCCTTTTTGTTTTCGATCAGCAAACTGCGTTCCACCGTTGCTGGCACACATTATTACCGTGCCGGCCCTTTTCATATCAAAGACCTCGTAAGAATTTGAGCCTCAAGAAAACAAGACGAAAGATCGTAAGAATTTGGGCTCGCTGTTGGACAGGAATAAGAAATGGAGGAGTAAGAATCGCACAATCCACCCTCTCAATGACAAAGAAATCATCGATTTGGGGATGCACGAGGAAACAAGACAGGGCGGCTGGCCCATGCCACGACTCGACAGCGACTACCATCTCGACGCCATGAGGACATCGTTGCGATGCAACTTGAATTCGGATTTGGTCCTCAGGAGCCTACCCCACCGAAGCAAGACTGCGCGTTGATTAAGCGTTTTTGGTGCTCGTTGAGGTGTGGTTTTAAGTGGTTCTGGGGACAGATCAATCGGGCGGCTACCGTGCGAACCAACCAAATGAGTGTCGGCATATAATCCAAACACCGTCAGCTTGACGCATGCATTTATGGAGTGTAGACGAAGCAAACGCAGCGGTAGGAGCATTGGCGTTGATGCAGACGATCGACAGTCGCTACAAACCGGCGGCACGCCGGCTTTCAGAGCGCGGATTCCCAACGTTCGCAACAACAACCCCAAGGGATGAGGATAGCTGCAATAGTTTGGGACCACACGTGACGGTTGAACTTCCAAGGGGACCAAATGTCATTTGTCCGCCCTCCCGAGAGATGACTCAATGCATGCAGTGGTCTTGGTAGCGGTAGTTCAACAACTTCTACCGTATGCCGGTAAACATGCACGCGCAACAGTGGGTGAAGACGTCTATACTGTGTTGCGTACGTTGGTCGTTCATGCGTATGTTACATAGTAATTCATGACACACGCCATGATACAAAGGCGTGTTGGGGGGTTCATAAAAAGTAGGCTGTTCACGCCTGCCTACTGCGCCGAAAAACGCCGTTTCGCGGGGCGCGGTTCCGCCCCCTCGAGGTTACGTACGCCTCCTCCTCCTCCCCTCCTCCTCTTCCTCTGTTCCCATTCTTAGGTTTTGACACAGAACATGCATGTGGTTCATATTTTGGCTTGTGTCTTTTTGACCGGAGTACATGTTTGCCATCTCCTTTCACAATGAAACTTCGAGGACATCGCGCCGAACCAAAATGCGTGTAGTTTGGCGTGAAGAATGTACAGTCTGTGTCCGAAAAATATTAGGTGGGTAGGCGAACGAAGCACTCAGCAGAACTGCCGAGCTCCTACAAACAAATGAATGCAATTCGCGGTTACCGTCGATCAAGAGGGATCTTCGTGAAAGCGCGTAGAGCCGTGGCGTTACTCCGTTTTTTCCCGCAATTACTGCAAATTGACTCGAGATTCGAGTGCGGTGTGGCCTATTGGCGTGGATGATTGCAGTGTGGTTTCTACACCACGAACAACGCGTTTTGACGCACCACAGGCATCGAACACGTATGTTAGTGCCAGTGTTTCATCTGTACAACTTTAGGTCAAAATTTTTGATATGCACACTATTGTACACTGACTACTGTGTACGCCTACTGCCTGTCCACAAAAACGAGAGAACAAATCGGGGGAAACAATGCTCTGCAAGTTTCGCCTTGAATTGGGACCTCCCTGGGGTACCAGGGTGCGCGGGATACCTTTTTTTTGGGCACCCTCGCCCACAATTATTAGATGTTTCCTGTGCATACGACCGGGCCAACACTACTGTACATAGCACCTGTCTCTCTACAACGTCTCTCTACAACGTGTATGACAGCAGAGGAGTATGTGTTGTGCAGCAAGGTACACAACCTATCGATTTAGACTATATCGTCGATGTGCACGTCATCTACACTGTACTTTGTTCAACATGAAACGGACCAGCCATCCGGAACAACAACAGTGGTTCACGGTATATAACCGGGAACGGAGATAGAAGTAAAACAGCGATTTCCGAGGAGGTTCCCGAACCATGGTTCGGGAGCGGCGACAGCGACAACAAATTAACTACCAGGTGTGAAGGAAAACCCCAAGCCTGAGTTTGACATAGACGCAGATCTGCGGCAAGGAAGAGTGTTCAAAGGGAATGTCCCCTGGTCCTCTGGTTGCGGTTAATTTTTTTCCCCGCGTGGGTGAACATTCAACGCCGCAACTTAGAAGACATACCGAATACCCGGTAAATAATGAGAGTACAGTATGTGATAACCACCCTGCTAGGCTCTTGCGTTGCTACCATTGGCCCGTTTGCTACGCAGCAGCAACATATTGATTGAGTTGTGGGGGGCGCCAATCAATCAATAATGTAAATAGATTCGTCGAACTTCTTATTACAAAGGAGATGTAGTCTGTATATACACGATGTATGTGTGACGAAGAAGGGGGGCTGTGGGATGAGAGGTATGCTACGGAGAGAGTTGAACCAACGCACGTACACCATGTCCTTTTACTGCTGCTGTTGTCTTACTGCTGTATCTACATCATCATAGCTACGCGCGTCTCCAGCGAGTGATTAATTGAGGAGGGTGCGATCGACAAGATCGTGTGGGCGTGCAAAGAAGCTCTGCATGCAGTAGTAGGGAATTTGGCTGGTGTTCCGGTGCCCGAGGGGCAATCGATGCATCTCCCACTGGCGCAGAACTTGAAGCAGTTCGCCCTGGGAGACATCATTCGCAGGGCAACCAACATTCATCCGTGGCAAACAAATTTTAATGTGAAGACAAACAACAACAACAACAACCAACAAATCTGGGCTACTCCAGTACTCTACTGCCGCCGTGCCATAGCCAGAGCTTCTGAATGCTGCTGGTGTCGTCGCTGCGGCAGCAGCTAGCTGCTGGTGCCGCTCTTCTGCTGGTGTGTACACCGGACGCTAGCTACGTCTACGACAGGCGACTGCTTTGTAGTGCCTTGTATACAGTAATTTAAATGTGTAGTGTGTGGGATAAGAAAAACATGGAGATAGAAGAAATTTTCGGAGGACCCACCTTCACCTTCGCGAGGACCAAATAAATCTTGCCCAGGGGCGAGCCGCGCTTTTGCCAAT